TCGTCTTTACAAACCTACGTAAGTGCATGTATACAAAAAAAAGAAAGGTCTGAATAATCATACCTTCGTTTTATCCAAAAATTATCTGTTGAGTCATGGATCTGCTATAAGCAAGAATATTTTACGTTCTCTTTTGAACACCTCTTCCTTCGCCTTAATTATTAGCCTTGATATAGTCGAAGCGAGAACAGGAGGGTCAAAGAACACATCACGTCGAGAAATCGTGAAGTACATGAGAAGAATGAAAAAAATTTGACAGAACTAGAAAGGGAGGCCTAGGACACAACAGGCTGGAGAATAATGGTCGGCGGCTTATGCTTCATTGGGGGTAGCAGGCATAAGTAAGTAAGTATTGCCGAAGACTTGATTGTTTTACTCAGGAGCCTGAAAAATTATTATCTGGTGAATCTCAACAAGAAGATCAATACACATTTACACAGTGGATTCTTTTTATATACAGACCTGAATTTAACTTGCATTGATTCTCAACCATCACTGATTTGTCGGAGCGCAACTCTCGCCATCTGTTTTATTGCACCTTCCAGAGTCTGGAACATTTGCAGTCTTATGTGAAAATTACTCGCTTTCGATTAAAAGTCCGTTTCATTGTGAAATATTTATCTAAATGAACAATCTTTTACAGTAGTTGTGCCAGCCTTTTTAAACTTTTTATCTTACAAGGAACTGGCATGCCTCAAGTAACACACTGATACGTGAGAACAAATTATTGTCATTATTATTATTGTCATCTCCAGATTATAATCAGCAAATGCAGTCAGTCTTCGGCGTCATTTTGGAATGAAGCTAGAACTACTTACGCTTGTCAAGAATGAGAACAGCAAGCGAGCTTAGACATCAAGAGTTTTACAGAGAATAATCCTAGGTCCACTCTTCTCCATTGTATTTATTAATGACTGGTTAGATAAAATTTATTCAGCGGTACTGACCCACTCAGACGATACATAGATTCTGAGGTTCTTAAGAAGCGAACGGGATTCAAGTGAGCTTCAGAGATATCTTACTGTAGTCGAAGGATGGGAAGTATAAAACGGGTTAAAACTCAGTCAGACGAAACGTCAAGTTATGACTATTCTCTTCATCGTGACTCGAAAAATTGTGCTCTCAAAGGACGTTTGCTCCCTAATGTCTCCTCATACCGCGTTATCTCGGTCTTCTAACCGCAGAAAGCCTAATCACCTCTTCGAACTACATAGGGGATCAAGCCAAGGCTAAACACAACGCTTCTTTTTATGCGAAGACGACTCGGTACAAACACCCCACTACTGTTCCTAAATTTCTTAAGCACATACGCTCGCACAAACCTTGACGTTGACAAAGTATTCACACCTACTCCCCTTAAATGAGACATTAATCTCTTGGATTGAGAGTAGAGACGAGCAACTAAGTGGCTGATATGGTCGAAGAATAAACAGAACAGCAACGACTTTACCACTGAGGATTATTCTCTCTGGGTTACAGAAGAATCAAAAGTGATCTGGAAAAGGCGTATAACAAACATATGAAACACAGCAAATCACCGCAGCGAGAACAACTTACTGAAGCATTAGCAACACGCCCCTTCAGTTAATTCTCGAAAAATGACTCAACAAAAAGAGAACACCTAGGTTCGTGCACAGTTTTTCTCGTTGAGAGTCGTCGCAACTTGGAATGCTCTGCTAGCGGGGTCAACCACATCCCCTTAGTGAACAGCTTTATGAAGAGGCTTGATAATCACATACTCACATACGGATTATCATATCCCTAGTGGTTAAGCTTTGCCTGATCCATACCTTCAGACTTGCTTGATGTTATTATTGCTATCTACTCAGATCACTAATGTAATCTATCTCGCCCATTTTCTCCGTTTCCTCTCCCTTGCTTACACTTCGGTCCAATCTCACAATCTTCACTAACAACTAATAAAATAAATTATATATTGATTTACATAGTTCTGAAATCTTACTCATATTAGCATTAGAATTTTCTCCTTATTATTCTCCATATTTCAACTAACGGATCTCCGGTCTGGTAATGTGATGGCTGCTGATATCCAGAATCCCTACTTCCCAGAAACAAAGGTTTTCATTGAAATCGCGGGACACAAACTCACAACCCACTGCCAACTACCTGGAATTAGTCAGTTGAGTGGCTAGACCCCCATTCGTCGGGCACTATTAGACACCTGGAACTGTACCGAAAGAACAAGAATCGAGCTCAAAGAAATCAGTTTGTTTATACTAACTCATGAAGAAGAAATTGGATATTGGAACTTAAAAATCAGAAACCATGACAACGAGTTAGCAAACTTTTGAAATAGCGTTTGAAAATGCTAGCACGTATTGTTTGTGTAAGATCACATGTTTTTTAGGAAATTAAAGATAATGTCTACATTATAAGGTCTCATGAAGTCTGGTTGTTATGTACGTCTGAATTTAACTGGTAGTGTTGACTTCTGACTCCTATATGATAACATTCAAATCTTATATCTGTCCACATTTCGGAGCCAACAAAATTGTCCCCTCTCCCCAGAAAAAGGATGTGGACCATTTGGAAAAATTTAAAAACGAAATTTCGAGTTAACTGGCAAAAAAACTGACTACCTTCAGCATCTGTAGTGTCCATCCACTAGATGTTTAAAAAATATATCGTACTCCAGGTCACTTCGATAGAAATTTCAAACGCAAACCTTTATCTTCTACTTTGCACGGCAATTCAAATTTTAAGATCTTTTATATCACAACCATCCAGTCTACTATTATGTAACATGATACTTGGTGGTTCTAGTAAACGCAACAACTAAGAAACATACTGAAGAAAAAATAACCTGCATATGACTTAAGATTTCACCAGGATTGGAGCTAGAATACTCCCATTGGATAATACCGAAAACGTTAAAGGGTAATCCGGTATTAAAAAGTGAACGCAAAGAAATCATTCGGCTTACACTATTTCATCACAAAGTACACACTATGTATATGATGCAGTATAAAGATTATTCCAACAACAAAATTAAATGCAACAATTAGTCTAGCCAGTGATGTTTGGAACTAAGCAAAATGACACAGATATTATTAGCAGTAGAAATTTAACGCAAGTGCGAATAATAAGCGTGTGTCATCTATCTGATGCAAAATTTTTGATGTGTTTCTTGCTCACAAAACTGTTAGCTGAGGCTGTTTTCAGTACAATAAATGTCGGATTATACCTTAGAGGCATTGATGGAAAGGCCCAAGCATAGTAGTTCAACCGTAGTTCTTGAGAGCCCGCTACTTAGTTTCGTGTCTAACATTCAAAATTAAGCAACTAAGTTTCACTTTCGAAGGTCCATGAATGTTCTTTCGTAGAACTATTCACAAACCGTATGACAAAATGAGTTGTACTAATTCCAAAATCACTTTCCGGTGGGTCTAGCATTTTATTTTTTAATACTCACCCTCTGTTCAATGTCTCGCATCATATTTGTAATTACTTATTTACGACTTCTACCCCCAGAAGTGCATAGGCTGACGTCCAACATTCTCCAACCAACTCTGTACCTGACCTCCCTTCCTAGTTCTGTCCAGATTTTGTTCATTAATTTCGTGTCTATCTACAATACTTTGGTCTTCCTCTTTTCCTTTGACCTTAAGGGTTCCAAGTGAGGGCTTATCTTGTGACGCAGTTGGCTGCTTTCAGCAATGTGTGTCCTATCAACTTCCACCGCTTCTTCCAGATTTCTCCCTCGACTGGAATCTGGTTTCTCCTCTCCCATAGTAGATTGTTGTCGGTGATGTTTGGCCAACGAATCCAAAGTATTTTGAGTAGACAACCGTTAATAAACACCTGTATCTTCAAGATGATGACTTTCGTAGTTCTAAAAGTTTCCAACCCATGTAGTAGAACTATCTTGACATTTGTATTGAAAATCCTGACTTTGGCGTTTGTCGATAAGTGTTTCGAATTCCAGATATTCTTCAGTGACAGAAATGCTGCCCTTGCTTTTCCGATCCGCGCCTTTACGTCTGAATCAAGTCCACTTTGGTCGTCAGTGATGCCGCGTAGATATGTAAAGGTTTTTTAACTGACGAAACGTCTCCGTTAAGTATGATTTGGTTGGTATATTTTGTGTTGTATAAGGGAATATAGATTTTCCATTTGTGTACATTCAGACCTGCTGCTACACTGATCTTCTTCTTCTGCAATTGTCGATACCTGTGGGATGAGTCTAGATCGTCTGCAAAGTCCAGATCACTCAACTTCATCTTAGCTGTCCAGTGTATCACGTGCGTCCCTCCAGATACTTTCTCATAGTCAATTAAGTTTATGTAGAGTGGTGAATTCTATTCAATTGATTGTTCCACAATGATCTATAGTATTGCAATTTGGTCGGTTCACGGTCGATCCTTACGAAATTCAGCCTGTTGATCTCGACTTTGGGTGTCTACGGAGTCCTTCATTCTGTGAAAAGACACCCTTTTGAAGACTTTACCTCGTACTAAGATAAGAGTGATGCCACTGTAGTCCTTACACTTGCTGAGATCTCCTCTTTTCGGTAATTTGATTAGGTATCCTTCTTTCTATTCTGTTGGTACTTTTTATTCACCCCAAATCTTGCTGAAGAGAATATGAAGTGTCTTCGCAGTTACCGTTATGTCCGCTTTCACTTCTTCAGCTTGTATGTTGTTTGGTCTCGCTCCTTTTCCACTCTTGATTTGTCTAATGGTCATGCTGATCTCTTCGTTCGTTGGTGGGTCAATACTGATTAGAGGTCCGTTGGTGCTGTTTTGATGTTGAGTTGGTTTTGTGTGGCTGGTCTATTCAAAAGTTCTTCAAAGAGCTCTACTCACCTCTTTCTCTGCACTTCAGAGTCGGGGATTACTTTGCCTTCCTTGCTTCGAACCGGTCGTCCTGGTAACTGATATTTTCCAACATGCGTCTTCGTTGTATCGTATAGTTGTCTCATGCTTTCCACTCTCACAGCGTTTTCTGCCATCGTAGCTAGACCTTCCACATATTTACGTTTGTCAGCTATGACTCTTCTCTTCACTTGCTTGTTTGCTTCTTTGTATTCAGTTTGTGCCTCGGTTTTCTCTTCTCTTGTTTGGCTGATTTGATCGTTGTTTTCTTGTTCTTCCTTTCGGAAATCTTATCCAGAGTATCCACAGATATCCACTCCTTGTGATGATGCTTCTTGAGGCCCAAACCTTCTGATATGCTAAAGCGATTGCCTTCTTGATCTCTCTCCACTCGTTCTCCATAGCAATTTCCTCTCTATTCAGTAAATTGCGAAAGGTTTGAAACCTATTGCTGAGGGTTATTTTAAATTATTGAGTTTGTCAGTATCCCGAAAAAACGCCGTATTTAACCCTTGTGATGCTGTTTCCCCCGCTGTTAAGTGCTTCTTTAGTTTCAGTTTCATTTTGGTTACCACTGACTGATTATCCAAAGCTACTTTGGCTCCTGCCTTGGTTCTTTCGTCCTCCATCGTTACTCAGAACTTTTCGTTGATGCATATATGGTTCTGCTTAGTGTGATCCGGTGAAATCTACGTCGCTTGTGCATGTGTTTGTGTGGTATTATGGTGCCGTCTACGACTAGTTTGTCGAAAACACATGAGTTTGCAAAGCTCACCGTTTTCATTCCTTCCTCTCAGTCCATTTCGTCTCATATCTAGTGTTGTCCATTCCAACCTTGGCGTTTAGGTCTCTCATCAGAATGGTCAGATCCCCTGTAAGATATTTCTTGACAATTTACTACAGCCTACCATACAGTTGGCCCTTAACTTCCTTGTTATTATCGTTGGTGGGCGCATAGCACTAGATGATATTCATTGTAGTCCCCTCTTCCTTCGGAGGCCCTTAGTACCTAACTGCACTTTTAAGGGTATATACCATGGTAATCGAACTAGGACGTAAGTATCAACGAGTTGGGTTGTTCTGGCATTATAATTTCTAGATTAACAACTGCATTCTCTTGCATTGTAGTGCTGTAATCTTAGCATATGTAATGATAACCCCTGTACAAAATCATCTCATCCAAAAGCTGTTGCATAGATATTAGACGGCATTGTGACATAATTATTATATCCACTATTATATACGATAACCAGATCTGAACCATTACTATCTGGTTACTAAGAGTAAAGTACAAATTAAAGGTCTGACCGTTAAACTTCCGGCATTTCCAGTAACTTTTTCATGTAGGTTGTTTTTTCCTCACATTCCTGAATGTTATACAATATATGGAAATGTCTTCCATGGGATAGAGATCGGGAACTTTAAAGTCTTATGATCCGAAAATATTTTTTTCTGAAAGTTTATAATTTCAGAATGCTCACAAAACGGTTTATATGGTATATAATATGTTAGTTAATATGCTCCTTTTAGGTTGAGACACTATCACTTTACATACGAAACTTGGTTTTAAACTCGGCTTTATGGTTGAACAAACTTAAAAGAAATGATTTAAGCGATCAGTAAGTCAGTTACAACGTAGAACTCGGTATGTACGTACACCAGTTCAAGCTGCCATACCACTTTAGCACAGATAGATGGATTTTTCAATTCAAATTCCATTGTAGTAGAGGTAGTAGCAGTCTGGACGGTAATCGAAAAGATTAGGGTTAGAAGATATGATTCAGGAAGTATTTCCCAGTGAAATAAATTTTAATAGGGAAAAACGGTTATGAGGAATCCCAAAACTTAGAGTTTGTAAGAAGACAAAGAATGGAAGCATCTTAGAAATTGGGAACGATTTTCAGCCATGTCACTCAACGTCTCTAACTATTGGTTAAGATTATCTTGTTGACCCTAACCAGGTAGTCTAAGCCTATCGACCTGATTCTGGACAGTTTTCACTGACTTCTTGGACTTTTGCCATGTCTCGGTTCGGCCGCCGCTAGCTTTCTTCCAGCCTACCCTTACTACTTCATCAATTGACAATCCGGAAGCAACGTTTTGGATTTGTAGGGAGAGCATCGCACCCCAAACAAGCTTACAGTGTTGCTTAATGCACTCAGAAGGCTCTGCATTTTGTCTGATCTTCACCAAATATACCTTTATCATCTGCATATTCAAAGTAAACGAGTGAATCTCCTGGTAGAAACCCAACTCCTGCGAAGTCAGGTAGTGTAAGTGACATCTATAAAAGCAAATCAGTGGCAAAGTTGAATGAGAATGGGGAACGTGGACAGCCTTGACGAATATCACTCTAAGTAATCACTTCCAGTGGTAGTTCTCCATAGGTTTTGACTCGACCAGTAGTATTTTGGTAGAGAGGTTGTACAAGGTTAGTATACTTGTGTAAACCTTCCAACGACAAACGCTGGCAGAGAACCCGACGATCAGCGGATTCGAACCACCTTCTTAAGATCAAGGAATACAACCACTGTTGGAAGCAGAAATGTGTGTCTGCATTTTAGGACCTGACGAATTGTGAACATTTGGTTTATACATCCACGACTAGGTCCGAAACCAGCCTAGTTTTTTCGATTCTGGTCCTTTCGAGCCCTAGTTCGGCATCAAGGTATTATCGAAGCTAACATCTTAGACATTAAATTGGTTAAATTGAATTTTTTGATGGTCACATTAGGATTTTTTTTCTTTTAATATAGTTTGGACGATCAGTGATCGAGACCAGTCGGATGCGATTACTTTCATTTCCCAGATCCCAGCTAGGATTTCAGCCGATTTAACTTCTAACACCGGACCACCATTCTTAAAATCCTCAGAAGTTAGTCTGTCAGGACCTACTGCTATCCATCCACCTAGATTGCCTTTCCAACCTCACTAAGAGCTGAATTCACATCCATTACCCCTTATTAAGGATGAACAATGGTCATATCTTTTTCAGAGGGTTTTGCTAACAGTTGGATTCCTTATATTGGTCTTCTTTTAATCATAAATAGTTGTCTACTGTTACCTATCGTCGCTGCCTTTTCCATCTCTCTCGCCTTCGCTACACATCATCGTTCACGCTCATTGCGTAGGCTTCTAATCAGCATGTGCCTAAGCTGACTCCACTCCTCATCATGTTCAGAGCCAGATGGAATCGGTTCCCGAGCATCTATCAGATACACAGCTGCTGAAATCCACTGCTCCTACCTAACCTTTTGGTTTAACTTACTGGTAGATATCACTGCTGTTTCTAGAGTTTTTTGGATATTTTTCCAAGCTGCCTCGAGGTGATCAGATCCATCCAGGTATCTTTCTGCTTAGCTTAATCTACCAGCAACTATTACAACATCAAATAGCTTAACATCCTGGAGGCTAGAAAGCTTTCTGTAAAATTCGTTTTTTACCTCAAGCACTCAGCAGTCAGTGGCAGTGTAGGCAGAGACAACAGCGAGTGTCCCTATCTTTCAGAGTTCTGACTGTCCCGTTTAGTTGGACTACCTACTGGGATCCAGTCTAAGAGAGCTAGTTCTGCTTTAGAGCTCAGTGTTATACCTATACCAGCGAGGTCACAGGAAGCAGCAGTGGGGCTTACAGATACACGAGGCGCTGCAGCGAACTGTTCTTTGTCTTGACTAAGTGAGGTCGAATAAATAACTGTATTGCGGCCCTGTATGGGCGGTTTTGAGACAGTACATACATCAATGGCGTGAGATTCTAGGTTCGTAGCTAAGGAAACTAGTTGCCCTATATGACTGCAACATGCAGTTTAGCGTGGGGTTTCTGAAGAAGAAGTAGCGTTCCGTGTACTCAAATCGTTGGCAGTAGCGGCTTGAGGTGGTACAGGTATTTGAGAAGGGTTGGTCATAGAGACAAGATAGTTATTCAGACGTGGGGGATTATTTGACAGTGAGCAAGTTGATCTTGTATTATGTTAGGGGTATGAGTAATGATGTGATTGATGTCTTTAGGGTGAACCTCTTCCAACCCCTTCCTTCCTTGTGAGAAGGCCAAATCACTGAAGATTTTGGTTGTCCGAGCGAAGCACATGCTATCACACCCTCCTTCAGTCAGAAGTATGACTTCACCCTCGGACCGTTAGTTACTACTTTTAGTCTTATCATTCTCCAATCGACCTACCTGGCATAGTAGGACCTAAAAGAACATATTTTCCAGCCAATATGGTTTGGTTGTGTTATCACGATGGGCAAGCTCGATCACCACTTCATGGTAGCGACAACGGCCGGTAGAGGATTTACAAAACAGCAGAGAAAGACAGGCAGAAATTTCACAAACTCGCATCAACGAGAAATCATCGAGAACTCATGCATGTCAGCTGGAAAACCCCTAGAAGTATTGCATGTCAACTAATTTTGAAAGAGATCTAGGGATTGCCAGTATTGTTGATGTGCAGAACTCTACTGAATCGTTTGAGGTTAGATATCTAACGAACCCAGAACATCCATCTCCTTCAAAAAGGATCGAATTACAACACAATTGACACTTTGAAACTCAAATTCTTTGCCTCAACTAAAGTCATCACTCAAAACAGCTGGAATAAATGAAAACTGAATTCTGCTGAATCACTAGATCACCACATGTTAAAAAAGTTTCTCAAACTTTAAAATTTCATTCACATTGAGTTTTATAGGAGCTATATTACTTATCTAAAACCCACCGGCTTACACCTCCAATTTAATTTGAACATTTACAGCGTTTTATTTGACAATGTAGTTATGACATAAATGCTAGTTTGTTTATATGATTTCAATTTTCAATATGGTGCTTGAGGTTAGAATAGTTCCGCATTTGATATCAGGCAAATATTAACTTTAATCTGTTTGTTCATTAACAAAAAATAACAATAATAGTTTTATTTTGGTTGTATTGAAATTCGAACATTGTTGTACGTTTTTGTTTTCATTTTTTTTTATAGATAACCATTCAAAAATGAAAACTCCAAAATCAAAACATAAAAAAGCTATTTCTGAAACTGATGAATCTCAACCAATAGCATCAGATCAATTATTTTCAATTATCTCTTTGAGTAGTGCTCAAAAACTCATGAACAATTTAGAAAATGATATCTGCCTTAAATTAGCAATTCAAACACATCTAGAAGAAACAAATTTAATTTTACAAAGACCAAATTTAACATTGATCAATACCATTTTGAAAATTGACTCATTCAAACAACAATATCAAGAAGAACCAATGAGTTTAATTAATAATAATAATAATAATTCAAATCAAATGGAACCTAAAACATCTTTATGGGATGCTGCATTAATAAACTATTTTACAGAATGTATAAAATGGTCAACAACTAAATGGATTGAAGAATTTTATAAAAGAAAATCAAATTCATTTGGAAATAGAATACGTGTTTCAATGTTTCAATATTTACCAAATAATAATATCAGTGAGTCCAATGAAATAATAGATATGGAAAAATTGATGTGTATCATAATCAGTTTCACTACAGCTTACATATTATTACGTCATTTACAATTGTGGCATTTAGCAAATGAACAATTGTTTTTGAATAAAAAGAATGATAATTTCAGTGAAAAAACAAAAACTACTTGTTTAATAGCATCAATTCAATTTTTCAAATCATTATTTCAATTATCAATAATTGATACTCTTAGTGATGAACATCATCATTATAATACAAGTGTAGAAAAGAATCTTTATGAATTTGAAAAACAATTCTCTGGATATTTATCTATTGTTGAATTAACTGCGGCAGAATTATTGATAGAATTCTTTTCAAGACATTTTTTAAATAAGCATAATTTGTTGGAAAGAGTTTTTGGACCATATACAGCATGTAATCAAAGATTGGTAAGTTACATTTTTTTTTCTGTACATGGAAAATAACTACTGTGTATATGCGATTTTGTTATTCAGCGTAAATTGTGCGGCACTTTACAATAAATTCAGACAAGTGGACTGAGTCATGTTGGTAGATGTACACTACCTGATTGGGGTCCGCGAGACGATAGTCACCAATGGTTAAAGACCTTGAACGACATGGCTCAAAATCGTTTGCGATGGCGCAAGTGCAACCATTCGTTGAGCTCCCTCAAATCCTAATCTTCTGGATTCGTCAGCGCCTCTACCTTTGTCTTTCTAACCTTATCTCACTGAACTATACTTCTTGAATAATATCTTCGAACCCCTAGTCTTCTTCATTACCATTAATACCTCTACTATCTTTATCACTATGGGATTTGATTTGACATTTGCGTCTCAGTGCTAATGTAGTATGGCAACATGAACTTCTGTACATACGTTCGAAGTTCTACATTGTAGCTGACTGACTGACTGCTGTTTCTGTCCTGTCCTAATTATATATACATATATATATTCCTTCTAATATCCATTCTATTTCTTGGATTTTGACCTAATCCATCCGAAGTCATTATTAATCCCAATTCAAATAAAAATTCTTTCTTTTCTATATAATTTTAGATAAAAATCTCTTGTCCACTTTATTTTGATACTTTGTTGGAAACATTTGAAACATCATCCGATTCTATATGGCCAGCACCATTATCTGAAGCTATATCACTTAGATTCATTTCAAAATATTCTGAATTATTTCCTGAGAAAGTAACTAAATGGTTAAAAATTATGAAACCAATTGAAACGTCAAAAGACACCGAACAACAACAACAACAACAACAACAGCAACAAAATGAACAATCAATATCTTTAGAAACTGAAATTCAAATTAGCCCAACAACCGATGAATTAAAACAAGAAGAATTCAATTCAATGTTCAATCAAAAATATCTTACTTCTATTGATACATTGAATTTATCTGAATTGAATGCGATTACGCAAGTGAATCAATTGGAATTAGATAGTATTGTACAAAAGTTACTAACTGAATTATCTTTAACATTTCTTAATAAAGATTATTTAATTAAAATAAAAGAGAAACAAATTGAATTAGGCAAACAATTGATAGAAAGAGCTAAAATTAAAATTGCTGAATTAGAACAATCATCAAAAATAAATAAATGAAAATAGGATTAATTAATTTTTTACTTGTGTTAAAATAAGGTTATTTGTATTGGGTTTTTTTATGATCAAATTATGTACAGTAAAGTTTTTTTGTTTCATTCTGTGTAATACAGATGATTATATTTATGTGACTGATTTCAAATAAATCATCCTATAGGAAATGTGTATCTGAATTGTGTATGAATCGAATCTTTTAATACACATAAATACACTACTAACTAATTTTACACATTTTTGAAACCACGAACCGATCAATGTTAGACCACCATTAGAAACCTGGAAGCACTGGACGGCCGTTTCGTCCTGGTATGGGACTCCTCAGCAGTGCGCATCCACGACTCCTGCACCCCGCAGGATTCGAACCCAGGACTTTCGGTACCGTTAGATACCGGCTCAGTGGTCTATCGGTTAGGGCGTTCGCGCACGATACCAAAGGTCCTGGGTTCGAATCCTGCGGGGTGCAGGAGTCGTGGATGCGCACTGCTGAGGAGTCCAATACCAGGACGAAACGGCCGTCCAGTGCTTCCAGGTTTCTAATTGTGGTCTAACATTGATCGGTTCGTGGTTTCAAAAATGTGTAAATTAACAATCTTCACAACTCCGTAATGTAACTAATTTTAGTAAAATTGTGATTTAAACGGTTTTAATTGACAATCATATTGAATATGTTGAGGAAGGAAATGAAACATTTAACTGAAGTATTTTACTTCTAATAAAGTTAGGATGTAACTTGTATATACGAATTAATCAGAGATTTAAGATAGCGAGCGATTTTTGGATTTCTGAGCGAAATTCACTGATCCATAATAAATAAAGAGCATTTTAGTATTAAAAGTGAATAATCAGTTCATGATGAAAACGTTAATTATAATTGTTAATCGTAATTTCTCACGTTGATTTATAACTCAAACATGCGGTTTACATTTCTCAAGGTCACTCTAGTATTGCTCAAAGGTCATCTATATTATTCTAGTCTCATCTTTATTATTTCTCCAAAAATGTGATATTAACAGTGATCACCATATGGAATGTTTACAGCCGTTTACTGATATTATACTTAAGCTAACTGTTGAATATCAAGGATTGAAAAACTAGGTTCCAGTCAGTATTTATTTATTGTAAACAGATTGGTTGATAATTCTTATTTGTTATTTTCAATTAGAGTTATCGAGATTAGTTTTTACACAATGAAATCATTGATCAATAATTGTTAGACCACCATTAGAAATCTAGAAGCACTGTACGGCCGTTTCGTCCTGGTACAGGACACATCAGCAATGCGCATGAATAACTCCTGAACCTTGCAGGAATCGAACCCGGGACCTTCGATCTTGTGCGCAAATGCCTTACCTCTGGACCACTGGGCCGGCATCCAACGGTGCTAATGTATAACTCTGATTGATCTAGAGATTTTGCGCAACCTCACCTATTTGTCTTTGGTAGTTACTGCCTACACTCAAAATCTGTACATCAGTCAGATTTAGACATTAACACCATTGGATGCCCGCCCAGTGGTCCGGAAGTTAGGCGTTCGCACGCAAGACCGAAGGCCTCAGGTTCGAATCCTGCAAGGTTCAGTAATCGTGCATACGCACTGCTGATGAGTCCTATACCAGGAGACATTTGTTAGTTTGACCATCTGGTGAAGTATCTATTGTCTCCTTGCCTAAAATGTAACATGACACTCCTCCTAACAATCATTTCAGTAGTATCACGTACTATTGATTTAACTTTAAAAAAAGTCAGATCCACTTTTCCTTTCAATTATTGTCTCCTCTTTTCCTTTGTTTATCTATTTATATAAATCGTACTATATTAAAAGATGACTAGTCATAAGGCTAACAAACAGTCAATCAATAGCAACGTAGAACTTCGTACGTACGTACGTACATCAGCTCATGTTACCATAACACATTAGCACAGAGATGTAATTGTCAGTTCAAATCCCATAGTAGTAGACGTAGTAAAGATATTAGCAATAATCAGAGATTAAGATTAGAAAATATAATTTAAAAAGTAGAATCTAGTGAAATAGACTAAATAAGATAAAGTGATGAGGAATTCAGAAGGTTAATATTTCATAAACCCCAAAGTATGAATGCACCTGCCCCATTGCAAACGATTCTGAGCCATGTCATTCAAGATAACTCACTCTAACCAACGATTACTACAATCTCGCGGGTCCCAACCTAGTTGTTGGTAGTCGACACCTACCAACCAACATGACTCACTCAGTTCACTTGTCAATAAACTTCATGGATTCGCACCGTGTTTTGGTCTGGCTGTTTGGTGTGTGCTACTTATACGAACGATATAAGTAGTAGTATAAGAAGGGACGTGAAAGAAGAAGTCTCACGGTCAGAAGAGGAAAACGGAAAGCAAATGGAGCAAAATGGAGCAAGAAGTAAATGGAGTACCAACAGTAAGGAAAGGAAGGAACAACAGGAATGGAAGAAGGATGGAGTGTTGGAAGTGACGACTCAAAGATGCTGTGCAAATAGAGTGTATTCAATGTAATGTTTTCGTTTTCAACTGACTCAGAGTGTAAATTTGCATAATACAATCTTCCTCGCTTGTGCCTCAGTCTTCTCAGCTGCACCTAACAAACAGTTCTAAAGTATAGAATGATTACAGAGAAAAATACTCTCTCTCTCTCTCTCTCGCTTGAAACAAAGTTCGATTGTATTTTTTTTAAAAAAAACTAATAAACAAACAATCTATTTAATTTTGTTTTTTTTGTCAATAAATTTCACTCTATAAAAGCTAAATAATTGGAACCAAAAAAAAGGAACAAATAAATACAAGGTAAAACTGCATACAACAACAGATTGTGGTATAAAATATAATAAAGTGAATGTGTGAATAGGTTATAAATTTTTAATAATCTTCATTTTGTTAACTTTCAATCGATCGGCTAAATTATTCTACAAAGAAAAGAGAGAAAATTAAGCAGAGATGACACAGAAGTAATTACATTAAGTAATAACTGCATGAATATATATATATATATATATATATATATATATATATATATATATATATATGCATATTTAGATAGATATATAATGACGAGCTTGTTGAATGGGGTATACCTCATATAACTAACTAACTCGGCAAGAGCGGCTAAATTAAATAAATACACAAAGAAGATATGGTGTATTCTGTTTGGTATAGTTAATCTTTATTTGTGTTTCACATTTATCACGTAAGGCACACACCAAGGTCCAAATTGTTGATTTTGATTGGTTTATTTTTTTTAATCAAGTTAATGCCTGCTCTCAAAAAAAGATATTCGAATAATGAATTGAATTTCTTTACTTAACCACAAGTACCTAGGTGTATACTATTGGTTGTAATGTACACTGAAATGTTTAATTGCATGGTTTGTTTCATCAGCCTTTAAGACAACCTAATCAATCGGCTTCTATTATATTTATTCACACATTTTTTGACCTTGTCAGTTATTCGCTTAAAAATCTTGACTGTTTCTAATTGCATGCGTGTATTGTTTACTTTGTGTATCATATGTCTGGGTTATTTTTATCTAACCATAAGTACTAGTCATGCCTTATCAATGGAGTGAATACTTGAAACTACTATGCAAAATGCTTCATAATGATCCTAATAGTTCTAGTAGGAAGCTGTGATCAGTGGAGTTTAATCATATCAAAGGTGAGATAGTTACCAAACAGTCATTTGATAATAGTTTATCCATCATGAACTGACTATAATTAGAAATTGAAGTTCCCGAGTTCGACCCCCTGGTAGGCGCACTACTAAAAAGAGGCCCATGCTTGGATGAAACAGGTCTTTATTGCTGTGCGAACTAACAGAGAATGTGAATTGTGATTATCATTAATATTACTATTATTATCATTATTATATCTAACAAACTTACTAAACTCTCAATCAATACTGGAGGATATGGGATACCACCAAGTTCATCACATTCTACCATATGATCTCTTTCAAAATCTCCAGGAATCTTCACAGGTTTACTATTATCCACCTATTATTATTATTGTTAAATAGTTTATAAAAGTAAAACAATTATTATATGAATTTTAGAATTTCAATAAATATGATCAATCTTTCCTCTTACCAGTTATGGAGATTAGTATTTGTTGCATATTAAAATCATCAATCAAAGACGGCTGTTTCGTCCTGGTACGGGACTCATCAGTGGCAGTGCACATCCACGACTCATGCATCTCGAAGGTCCTGAGTTCGAAGACTAAGAGGTGCAGGAATCGTGGATGCACACTGATTGTGAGTTCGATACTAGGATGAAACGGCCGTCTTTCAGTGCTTCCAGGCTTCTAGTGGTGGTCTAACAATCATTGATTGATGATTTCAATGTCCAATGATCAATCGTATTTGATAAATGTGCATTCTGTTCGAATTGACTCAGTACAAGTTAATGTTGAATCAGTAGAATTTAAAACAAGTGTTTCGCCCTATCCCAGGACTCATCAGTTAAATCTTAGAGTTCATATTCACTTCAGAATTCAAACTCTCAATGCCTTTCATTTCAAATATTAGCGCATTATCCATTTAGCTACACTGAATTTATTTGTTGATCACTATTCTCACTTGTTTCACCAGTTCATTTAAACCATCACAAGTGTTGAATTGAAGTTTATTTTATTACTTAAACTAAAATCATTATCATTCAAACAAAGGCCATTCAAAATTCACAAAACTTGACTTTCTATCAACTGTAATTTGTATTTCTCTCTCTCTCTCTAACAATTACAACAAAAACAACATGTACCTTTACTTTTTAAAAACACAATCAATAATTCTTCATTTTGGTCATATTGAATAGAAATGTCGATAAATCGTTGACATGAACTTCTTATACAAAAAGAATAAATCTTAATTTTCAAAAAATTAAAAACAATATACATTTCCAATAAATCAGAAATAATTCAATCAATATAGTAAGAAAAAACTGTTGTAATGACGTACTGTATCACAACATCATGTGTTCCGCTAATTTATACAAGTATTTTTTTAAAATATGACCTTGAAATATGCACTATTATAAGTGTCCAATAAGAATGATTGTGTGTATAGGATTTAATCTATACAAAAAATTATTTATTCAGAAATTCAACTTATTTCTATATTGACCATGTATTTATTTCTTTAAGTGTTCTATGAAATAATAAATTGTGTATTGGTATTTGTCGTTGAGATCGTTGATAGTTAAATACTCTAAAACACTAGATATATTAAAGTGTCAAGCCTTGAACAAATGGAAAACTAATACAATTTTGGATATAATATATGTATTGTGATTAGTGATGTGTTTGTTGGGGGACGTTAAATCCCCAGAACTCCTAATTTTGGATTTTATGTTTTCGAGCATGGGCTAATCAGTCGACCTTGAGATTACATTTTCCACCCGGAAAATCCTTGACTGTCATTGGTTGATGTATTGTATTATTTTAGTACGCTATTTTTGTAGCTCTCCCAAGGACGTTCCTATCTTGTATATAAATAAACTCGATTAGTGTGCTTGTCGAAACCTCAATTTTTCAGGTGCTTGTAGAATAAACTGTCTACGTCTTGTCAAGACTTCTTCTTGTACTTAGTGGGAGCTTTCGGACGCTTAGATTAGAGTAGCCTATCGTGTCACTGTATCACTGACCTTCACTCTCGTTTACCGACTAAGCTGGACACGTAATAGCATTCAAGCATATCAATTGACGAGCATGACATGGTGGAATCCGAAAAACGGTTGTTCATCTTATTGGAGACAGATCAACTGGAGAAATCCTAATGTTGGTGTTCATACTTGAAGTAGAAGTTAGTATCAGTCGCCTTAACTGTTAATCCATAATTTACTGAGTTTACTGAGTTTACATATAGTTATATAATTCGTTTAATAAATATACTATTTATACGGTTATATTAAGCTCATCGCTAGGTATGCTTGAAACTATTACGGGTTCACCTTAGTCGATAAACGAGAACGAGACAATGAACCAGCGTCCAGGTAGGCCACCCTGATCCGTTGACTAACGAAAAGTCTTGATATAGCGTAGAAAGTGTATTCTACAAACAACCAGTCAGCACAATACAATCAAGCACACAAATCTCGTTCATTTATACATCATAGAAACGTCCTTGGGAGAGTCATAAAAATAGCACACAGAAATAACACAGTAACTAATCACAGCCAAAGATTTTCCTGGTGGGAAATATGATCTCAATATCAACTGATCAGACCATGAATAAAATCCAAAATTAAGACACATTGATCAAGTAGTGAGCTCTGGGGATCTAACATCCCCAACAGGTTAATAGTAAGTAAGGATTTCTTACTTGCATACATTTTAATTAATGGAATATTTAATAAGTTGATTTATATAAACAAAGAATTTTTTTAAAACATTATCAAAAGTTATCATTTGAATTGGTGAATACTTGTCGTCATCTTATTGAGAATATAGTTTTTTTTTAAAAAAACAAACAAACAGTAGATTTAATTTGAATGTGAAAAAATGATCAAGTGTGAATGAATGTGTATATGTCACCACTCTCTCTATGAGATAATAATTGATTTCATGTTAAATTTATCATATGGATTGCTATTCTTGTTGAAACCTATCACCGTTGGATGCCAGACCAGTGGTCCAATGGTTAGGCGATCGCGCACAATACTGAAGGTCCCGGGTTCGAATCCTGCGAGGAGCAGGAGTCGTGGATGTGCACTGCCACCGATGAGTCCCATACCAGGACGAAACGGCTGTCTCTCAATGCTTCCAGGTTTCTAATGATGTGGTCTAGTAACAATGATTGATTGATGATTTCAAAGGTGAAAAAAAGAACACAAACCTCCAAAACTCTGCCCCAAAACTTATCACTGTGATAATTAGAAATTTTGTAGAGTTTTATTTTATATGTCAATTTGAGTAAATATATATTCTTTCCAGCTACTCAACTGGTAGGAATAAATATCTATTGATGATAGGGTTTTAATTAGTAAACTCTCAAACAATATTAATTTTTAATCAGAGAGTCTATTGAAATCGGACTAGTAGTTTTAATTTAATTTGACATCCAATAAGTATTGAATAAAAAATTGTTGATACATATCTATCATAATAAAACAATATTTTTGCACAATGAAACCATGGATGAATCATCGCTAGACCAACATTAAAAAGGCCAGAACCACTGGACGACCGTCAAGTCTTGATGCTCGAAAGATTCGAACGCATGACCTTCGGTCTTGCATGCGAACGTTTAACCTCTGGACCACTGAGCTGGTATCTAACGGTGTTAATGTTTAACTCTAATCAATCTAAAGATTTTGTGCAACCTCACGCATTTGTCTTTGATAGTTACTGCCTACACCTAACAGGGTTGAACTCTCAACTGATCACATTTTCGCACTAGAACTCCGAGAATTTCTTCAAGAAGCTAGTCACTAGTGAGCACAAATTTTGATTTTACATTATAGTGTTATGAATGGCTGAGATCGCGCAAAATCCCTAGATTGATCAAAGTTAGGGCATTCACACCGTTGGATGCCGGTTCTGTGGTGCAATACCGATAGTCCTGAGTTCAAATCTCGCGAATAACAGGAGTGATCGATGCGCACTGCTGATGAGTCGTATGCCAGAATATGACGGCCACTCAATGCCTCCAGGTTTCTAATGGCGGTTTAACAATGATTGATTGATGATTTCATTGTGTAAAAACATACTAATCTCCATAACTCTAATTGAAAAGATCAAATCCTTGTTAAATCGTTTATACGTACAATTTATGTAAACATAAAAACTTACTGCTGGTAGATTACGCATCATATTCACATAATCCGATAATCGTTCTTCAAATCCTGGTGCAAACATTTTAGGATTAATGGCTAGAAATGATTGACCCTGTTAATAATTAAAAAATAAGACACAATAAAAAAATATTCTAGTTTTAATTGTAAGGCAATTTTCAAAATTTTATTTTATCAAGACAGAAAAAAGGAATCAAAAAAGACTGTTTGTAAATATCATTTAATATTTTGCGTAAAAACACTTCTTTTTAAAAAGAAATAAATCCAGAGCTTTTGTATATCAAATATACAGACTTTTAGCGATTGAACAAAATGTACATACATTCTCCTTCTGACAAACTATACCAAATACTATTAAAATTGACTTGTTGTAAAATAACAAGGAGAAACAAGGTATTTCAAAAAGAAAGTCCATATAAATAGTGTATTGTAGCTTATAATACACTATTTACCTAATTCTCTACTCTCTATAAACAAAACGATATTCGTCTAGCACTTTCATCAGTAGAGAAAGTACAACTTTAGTTTTAAAATGTACTATAATTCATATTTTATATAAAGTATACACTCATTGTTGTTAGGAAACAAGTACTAGCTAGGTAAGGATGGCAAATAAATTGATGAAGTGATGAATTTTCATCAGTTAAAGTGGTTGCGACATGTGTGCGTCGTCGAGCGATGTTTTGTGATGTAAGAGTAGGATGGAAGATAGCTAGGGGCGATCAATCCAAAACATGACACAAATCCATGAAGTCACTGACAAGTGGATTGAGTCATGTTGGTAAGTCTACACATAATAGTAATCGATGATGAAACACTTTGAATGACATAGCTCGAAACCGTTTGCAATAATAGCGCAGATGCATCCATTCTTTGTATTATCCCGAATTCTGTGATCCAAACTCCTGATGACTTTCTTTTTTTCTCATCTCAAATCTATTTCACTGGATCATACTTCTGAAATACTATTTTCAGACTATGATCTTTTTGATTATTTCTCATACTTCTACTAGCTGTACCACCGCTATATACGGTTTGAATCGACAATTGCATCTCTGTACTGCTACCGTGGTATGGCAACCTGAACTGATGTACGTACGGACGAAATATACGTTGACTGACTGATTTATAGTAGTAATTTATACATCAATCAAATGTTATCACTTCATCTTCTCATCATCATTATGATTTCAACTTAATTTAAACATACTACTGAATAATTTTGAAGAAAAATAATAAAGGAATTAGTTAATTTCAATACTTTGTTTTCAATAGACATCATATGAAATAGTTGTATTTAAATAACTAATAAACATTACGTCGTCACTCATTGACATATTTTTATTTTAAGAAATCAATTAAAAAAAAGCGAACCAAATAGCACATTTACAATCTATTTTTATTCTATAATATTTATATAAGTGAATTGTTTTCAACTGCATGCACTCATCCATTGAGAACTTGATTAATGCAAAATGTTTAAAACTTGTGGTTAATAAAAAAAAATCATTCAGTCATCAAAATCACTCATTCTATTGATCAGTTTTTGTCATTAATTTATATTTTTTGTTAAAAATTCAATCAGTTTGTACATACAACTACTCAACTACGTGTCATCCATTTTAACTATTGACTATTTGCCTATACTTGATTTAAATTTAATTGCTCAATTTAATTCTTAAAGAAATATGATAATATATATAAGTGAAATTTTTGTTTGATTCGTGTAATGATCATCTTTTAATGTGATCGTTGTTGTTTTACATTGAAATTGTGGATCATTACTTAATATTCAGATGTCAGATGCGACGTAGAACTTTGTACGTAAGTACATCAGTTCATGTTGCCATACCACATCAGCACAGAGATGTAATTGTCAATTCAAATCCAATAGTAGAAGAGGTAGTAAAGGTATTAGAAGTAATCGAAGAGGTTAGGATTAGAAGATATTATTTAAGAAGTATGATTCAGTGAGATAAGTTTAGAAAGACAAAACTAGAGGTGTTGAAGAATCCAGAAGATTAGGATTTGAGAGAACACAAAGAATAAATGCACCGGCGCCATTGCGAACGATTTTAATGTTAGACCACCGTTATAAACCTGGAGGCATTTGATAGCTTGTAAAGTCCAAATATCAGACTCATGAGCAGTACGTATCTAGTACAACCCTCACTTGCGTGAATCGAACACAGCAACGTCGGTATTACACACGAGCGCTTAACCTCTAAACCACAAAGCCAGCATCCAACGATGTGAATGTCTAACTTTGATCAATCTACGGATTTTGCACAACCTCATCGTCTATCTTCTCAGTGAGGAATTTTGCATACGCCCGACAGGATTGATGTCCAATAGTTACGGCATTTGAGATATTAATTTTATCTTTTAAAAAATTCATTGTATTTTTTGAATATAAATCTTATTGACTAGTAAGTATATTTACAATTTGAAATTAAAATCAATAAGACATTGAATAATTTAAGTTTTATTTTTTTGAAAAAAATATAGTAGTTCTGGTTAAGTGTGAAGTTAAAAGACATAACTTTTTTAGAATAGTTCAAGTTTTGTTGCCTTAACTAACATACAAGTAAGTCACTAATGAATTCAGAAAAACAAGAAAACATATGCAAACAAACACACACTGAATACATCATATAGTATTATTATTCACAACATCATGTTTTAAATTATAGTCACTAATCAGCTTGAATACAAAATATCTGTTAGTTGATAAGTTCATTAAAAAAGTCATTGATAGAAGTACAATGACTTATATCGGTTAATATCATAACTAACACACATAGTAGTCGTCATAAGAATAATAATCTGATCTATAAAAAGAAACATTGCAACATTCTTAATGTAAAACTTAATATACGTATACACATAAATATCAATTATTTGGTATATGATAGACTTACTTACTTACTTACGTACGCTTGTTACCCCCAATGGAGCATAGGCCGCCCGCCAGTTTTCGCATACCAACTCCATCCTGGACTTCCCTTTCCAGTTCTGTCCAATATTTGTTCATTTTTCTCACATCTTTCTCTATTTCACGGCGTAATGTGTTCCTTGGCCTTCCTGTTTTCCTTTTGCCTTAAGGGTCCCATGTGAGGGCTTGTCTCGTGACGCAGTTAGGTGCTTTTCGTAGTGTGTTCCACCGCTTCTCCCTAATTTCCTCATCCACTGGAATCTGGTTTGTTCTCTCCCACGGTACGTTGTTGCTGATCGCGTCTGGCCAACGAATACGAAGTATTTTGTGTAGACAACTGTTAATAAATACTTGTATCTTCTGGATGATGGCTTTAATAGTTCTCCAAGTTTCCGCCTCATACGGTAGAGCTGTTTTGACATTTGTATTGAAAATTCTGACTTCGGAGTTTGTTGACGGTTGTTTTGCGGTTCTAGATGTTGTTCGATTGTAGAAATGCAGCCCTTGCTTTGCCGATCCGTGTCCTCACATCTGCATCGGATCCACATTGGTTGTCGATGATGCTGGCAAGATATGTTGAGGTGTTAACGTCCTCAAAAGAATGTCCAACAAGAGTGATTTGGTTGGCGCATATTCAGTTGTGTCGTAGAATCCTGCTTTTCCCTTTATGTATGTTGAGGTCTGCTGCTGCTGAGGTTGCTGCTACACTGGTTGTCTTCTCTTGCATTTTTTGTTGCGTGTGTAATAGAAGAGCCAGATCATCTGAGAAGCCTAAATCGTCCAGCCGCATCCTAGCTATCCGTTGAGTACCGTGCTTTCTTTCAGATGTTGATGTCTTCATAATGCAGTTGATCACCAGGAGAAAGAGAAAGGGTGAGAGTAAGCAACCTTGCCTGACATCGGTCTTCACCTCAAACGTGTTTGTCAGCTGACCTCCGTGCACGATTTTGCAGTTGAATCCATCGTAAGAATTCCGTATGATGTTGACTATCTTCAGACACGCTATAGTGTCGAAGTAGCCTCCACAGTGTTTTCCTATCCCCGCTATCGAATGCTTTCTCGTAGTCAATGAAGTTGATGTAGAGTGGTGAGTTCCGTCCTATTGATTGCTCCACAATGATCCGTAATGTTGTAATTTGGTCAGTACACGATCGATCCTTACGAAATCCGGCCTGTTGATCTCGAAGTTGGGCGTCTACGAAGTCCTTCATTCTGTTTAACAATACCCTGTTGAAAACTTTGCCAGGTGGATTTTACATGATAAAAGGCATTACAATATAAATAATATGAACTAGAAATTTTATTTTCTATTTTTTAAACCTACCAAATTAGCTGGTTTATCAGTTGACATCCATCGACGAATATTTGCTCCATATGCAGCATTTGCAATAATTCCGCATAAAATTTCAACAAACATTCCTAAACCGTAACCTTTATAGCCACCTTGTTTAAGGTTTTGATAGAAGAAAATAATGAAGATATAGATTAAATTGATTTGTTGTTAGAAGTATAAGTTATTTTGTTTATTTAGATGAAATAATTAAAATGGGGAAATTCTCAAGTATGACCTTGTTCATATCAATTAAAAGTATAGATTCACCCTCAATAGAACCGAGGAGACCGCCCACGTGTCAATACTCCAACGTGAACAGTACAGCTCAGTCCTGTGGCACAACCACCAAACAAGTACGACCCATGATTATGTCATTCAGTATGCACAGCATGAACAGACCAATGTGACCCATTCCGCTTACATGACTGTTAAACTCATTATTACTAGCAATGGTGATATGCAATACAGCATCCCAATGACAATCAATGGTCCTCAGGAACGTTGCAAGACAACCACCATTATCAATGAAATCGGTTACCCTGCAAACCATGGACTGTTGTTAGCAAAACTTCCCGAAGTAATGTTAAACCAGACACAATATTCATCATAGCGAATGTCTAGTCTCATAGGAAACCTTCAGCAATATAGCTTAAAAGTAACTGAATAAGAAATATTTCCAGCTACTAGAAGTGATACATTGGAACAGTCACAAACTAGTCAAATGATACGTGCACGCGAATGGCCAAAAAACTTGCATTTCTAAGCAATAAGACATACAGCTTTGATGATATAATTTCCTAAGAGACGTCTTCTATTTGACTAGTCAATAAAGTATTCCTTCTTACACTTGGTCTTCTCACTCATGTAGCCGGTTGGGCAAGCTTAGGTAGTGAATATGGGAATTGAGCATCACATAACACAACCAGACGACTGACCAGTCTGTTTACAGATAGACTTTAGTTAGAGCTCAGTTATTACGGGTTTTCATGAACCTCTTAACTATTTTTTTTTCATTTTTATTGTACGAACAGTGACTAATATGAAATAATACTGCATGTACCTTATAAATTATCACTTTTGTTCTAAATCCAAAAAGTCTAAAGCAACAATAAACATAATCTAAATTGTAAATCACTTTATTTACATTATAAAATACTATTTCAGTAGAGTACAACCTTTTTCAATATTTTAATATGTGTTGTGGTGGTGTTTTGTTCTCTGAGCTGGTTGTTTTGGTTGTGGAGCTTTCATTGTTCTTCTACTGAACAACATCATCAGCACAAACTTCAGACAGAAGTGAAGCATTCAAATTTCTCCACGTTTGACCTGTAGCTTGTTCTGCTAACCTCGATCTTGATTGGTTGTTGTTGACCTTAACGTGGAGAAATCTGAATGCATCACTTCTATCTGAAGTTTGTGCTGATGATGTTGTTCAGAAGAACAATGAAAGCTCCACAAAAAAAAGACCACCACAATCATCCACCTGAGATACAAGTTTTCTTCACCGTCTCAACATGTGTTGTTACGGGTATGAGAGTGGATGTTACTGCCCGGCTGCCCACATCGTGGAAGGGTGTTTCTTGAGGAACCTAAAAAGAAAATCGTATTGGAGGTGGTCATGGCAACCTGGGTGCGTGACCACAGAGCTCAACGGATAGCTGCTTAAGACCGGTTACTCACAGTCTTTTTATAAGAAGTCTTTAAAGTGTTAGCTCTGCTCTTTTTATAAAAAGCCTTACCGCCGGAGACTGAAATCCGTCAAGTAATGTGAGGTGTGATATTTTTAGGATCAAACTTGTCTAACCCCTTCCTTCATTGTAAGAAAGCCGCATCACCGCAGATGCTGGTTTTCTGAGGAAAACAACTTACTGCTGTCACACCCATCTAGTCAGCAGTACGACCTCCCTGACGATATGCAAACCCGAACACCAAGCTAGGGTAGCAGCTACGGTCAGGCAATATTTTAATATATGATTATTTGGTGAAGCTGAAAATCAACTTTCAATTTAGGAACTATAACTTTTTGCCAAGAAACAATTACATCTTCATGTTTTGAAAAAGTTTAAGTGATGATCACATAATCGAAGAGCAGAGTATCTTTGAAATTATGACTTTGTGTAAATTTTGGAGATATTTAATCATATTCTTGTTTACTTTAAAGCATTTTTCGAATCGCTTCTATGTTTTTTTTGTGAAGTGATTGTTTATTGAGTTAAGATTTTAAGCTGTACTGACTTTCTTTCACGCGTTATTAATTGAACTAGAGAGGACTTGTTAGGCTAAACAATATCTTAAGGTCAGAAGCGTAGGTGAGTCATAGTCATTAAGTGAATTGTTTATTCGACGGGTTATCACCCACATTCTCACGTTGGTTTCAGTCTGTTTACTAATAAATTTGATAATTCGGGATATCTATATAATTTAAAAGAAAATGAGGTTATAAGGAATTTGGAAGCCTATCATTTGGCGGAAGAAAAAGAATGAATGAATGTGCTTCAGTGTAAGCGATTTTGAGCCACGTCATTCAAAGTCTGTAACCACTGGCTACGATTACCACGCGGATCACAACCAAGCAAGTAGCCTACACACCTACTTATAACGCTTTGTCCAGTTTTCAGTGACTTCATGGATTTTTACTATGTTTTTGGTTTGTGCGCTCCTAGATTTTTCCCAGCCTACTCCTACAATCACAAAACATTGCTCGTGGAGGTAGTCGTTGGTTAGGCATACGTAAAACATGTCCCAACCACACCAACTGATGATGAATCACTATTTCATTATTTGATTTACCATCTTTATTATCTAGTACACTATTCCTAACACCAGTATTGTTTACTCAGTGGTCCCAGGATACCAGAACATTGCTTGGAAGACACCTGTGATGGAATACTAATAACCTACGAATATCCTTAATCCTTAATGGCTATGTTTCACAGTCGTAAAATAGAACCGAGAGAATTTCTGTGCAACGAACTCATCCTTTGAATAGCAGACAGATATATGGCCTACATGCAAATGGGCAGAAGCCAATCGAGCCCTATGTATCCGTGACATCTAATCAAACATCGGGCTGATGATAAATGAAGTGGCCGACAAACTCAACTACTTCACTTCCCATCAATAGTTGAGGAGTTGATGCAAACTGGTACAGAACCAATATTATGCATTTTGAGAGAGAGAATCGCATCCCAAACGTGCTAGTATTGTTACACTTTTGTACTATATTGAATGATGAGCTCATTTCTAGTTTATGCTTTGTTCACTTAATGAAAATTCATCAAGTTTCAAGTAAATTTAACTACCTCTCGTTTACTGACATAGGTAAACTCGTAATAGTTCAAGCGCATCAACTGATGTGTTTACATGTATGCGTAACAAACACAGAGGATAATTCAGAATTAGTGTTATTTCCAGTCACGGGGAATATGCCATTCATAAATATTTAAATTATAAAAGCAATTTTTATATGATGTGAACTATTTTCTATCTTCCGGACTGGTATGCCAATTAAGAATAATCATAAATACAATAAAGTTAGTACAGGCGGAGAATACACATACATACAGTATGTATGTGTACTTTCAGTTACATTTAATTAAACAGTTAATCTCTTGACATTTAAAAGTTCACAATAATAATCAACAACGACTATAAAAAAAATCTAATTAATCAATAAAGATCATGTGTGTAAAGTTTCAGGGTGCTATTTGATTGGCTGAATAGAGATTAACTATGATGTAAGAGATATTTGTAAGAAATTTCTGTTTAATGAATTATGATATGATTCATATCAGTGAGAGGAAAGGTTCGAATTTTCTCGTTACTTGATATAATTGACCGAAATTAATCAGTCTCTGTCGACGACATATGTGGATTGGTTGGACATAGCTATTATATAACATTAAGTATATAGGATGAAATTGTGGCTGATAGGGAAATCTAGAGAATAGGTGTTTTATCTTATTTGAAACCGGTCATCAAGCGATATCAGCATACAAATTTTGATATTTATACTGGGGAATCGAACCCAGTAGTACCACCTTTCATTTCTATCCACTGAGTTATTGAGTTCAGATAGCAGCTACATTGGGTTGAAGACACAAGTCTATTTCTAACCAACACACTCTTTATAGTTTACTTCAGTAGATACAATGATTTTTGTAATCTATTTTATTCATGCTTATAGGACTAGTATAATTTCAATAAACGAAAGATTATTATTAACCAGTTGACTTACTATTTTCTTCTTCACCGCCCAAAGGCATTAAACCACCCTTCGTAACAACTACATTTGGATCAACACATGTCTAAATAGTTTCAAAGAGAGAAAAAAGGTGAATTCAGGAAAAAGAAAAACTACAAAAACGATGAAATAAGAAGAGTAGTAAAACTAGGCATGTGTGATAACTATTTTATGATTTTGAGTTTTTTTTAAGTTTATAACTCTGCCTGGAGCCCTTCTGGGTTTCCTGTCGGCCCCAAGCGCGGATAGAGGGGGGTCGAGTGCGGGCGGGGTTAGCAGTTCCACCCCGTAGAAAACCAACTTGCTAAAAAAATAATGCCAATCATAAAAGAAATAAGTCGCTGGTCAGCAAGCAGCTTATGCTGCTGCTCCATCAGAGGTAATAGGTGTAAGTCAGTCAGTAAGTAAGTAAGTCAATTTTGAATAATGCTTATTTATAACGTATGTATGACTACTTTCTGTTATTGGGTAGAAAAGCATAAAAAGTATTTTACTAATTAGTACATATTTTTGAAACATAAAAGTGTGTATCCAAATAAAATAGAAGGCTAAATACTGTCATTTGTATAATGAAGTGAAATAATAACACACTGGATTTAGTTTTTTGCTAAAATTAAACAGCATAGAATGAATTGAATCTTCACGACCTATTACATTTGATTCACGTTCAAAATGGCAAATCAAGTTACTTCACATTGCGACCGATTTGGAACCATGTCATGTTAGTTAAGAAAAAAAAATGATGCGGACCGCAAATAAATAAATCTTTTGTGCATTCATTAATCATCAGATGTCATGCTTCCAATATCCAGTCACTTGCTTAACTTATCCCAACGCCGCCTAGGACCTGATGAAATCGTAAGCGTTCTTTTTAAAGTGTCTTGAAATCCTGTCATTCATTCACAAAAAGTCTTTAATAGAATCCTTCACAACAAATTTTAAACCAAAAAAGGTGGAGAATGATAATTCTGATCCAAAAGAAAGTATCTAGTTATAAGACAGACACATACAACGCAGAACTTCGTACATAAGTACATCAGTTCACGTTGCCATACCACGTCAGCACAGAGACGCAACTGTCAGTTCAAATCCAAGAGGGATAGCAATAATAGAAGGATTAGCAGTAATGGAGAAGATTAGGGAGCGAAGATATGATTAGAGAAGTATAATTCAGATAAGATAAATTTAGAAGAAAAAAGATAGAGATTATGAGGAATGCAGAAGCTTAGAATTAGAGAGAACACAAAGAGTGGATGCACCTGTGCCATTGCAAACGATTCTGAACCAGCATTGCTTATACGGTCGTCCCAGCATACACGAGCAATGCTTCAGATACACCCATGATAGAAGACGAGTAACCTACGGAAGTCCTCTACTCTTAACGGCCAAGTCTCGCATCCGTACAGTAGGACGGAGTGAACTGTTGCACAGTACACTCGTCCTTTAGTCAGCAAACGGATATCTTGCCTGCGCCATAGGTGACGCAGGTTGGCAAAAACCAATCAAGCCTTCTGTATCTGAGCTGAGATTTCGTCAGTCACCAGACCATCAGCGCTGATGAGATCTAGTTATAAGAATGTAAAATTTAGAACTGAAGAATGAATAAACATTAAAAATAACGAATCATTTATCGTTTTTTTTGACGAGTTCCATCTAGGGCTTACAAATTAATTAGTTCACTATTATGATGTCATAAATGAGAATAATTTTTTTACACATTTTTGAAACCATGAATCGATCAATGTTAGATCACCATTAGAAACCTGGAAGCACTGAAAGACGACCGTTTCGTCCTGGTGGGGGACTCATCAGTGGCAGCGCGTATCCACGACTCCTGCACCCGCAGGATTCGAACCCAGGACCTTCGGTACTGTGCGCGAACGCTTAACCAGTAGTAGATTTTTTTCTAAGAAAGCTCATTCATTCTATGTAGAAAATGTATGAAGTTATTGAAAATTAAATATTTTTTAAAAAAACAAACAAACATAGAATCATGTGACTTACTTTACCATCAGCATCAGCACCCCATCCTTTAGGTATTTGAACGTTTCTTCTTCGACACATTTCAATCTTTTTTTTAAAAAAGAATTTTAAACAAACAATCCAACTAGACAAATAATAATCTTGATAAATTTAATTTGATTCACGTTCAAAAGACATGAAGAAAATGTGATTTCAGAATAAAGAATAAGGTTATATAAAAACTGGAAATCTTAAAGCAGACAAATTAGTAAAATCTATTTTGCTTCATTGCGACTGACTGTGAACCATGTTATCGAATTTCTCCTGACGCGTTGGTGAGGAAATTATCAGGTACGTTATTTATCTTATGTCATGCTTACTATATCCACAAGTATGTAAAAGGAGTTGTATGCCAGTCTTCACTGTGACTAATGTCCGGAAAATGTCTCCAGTCACTTAACTCGTCTCAATGTCTACGACCTCAGTCAGTCAGCTACAACATAGAACTTCGTACGCACGAACATAAATCACTTCAAGTTGCCATAACATATTAGCATGGAGATGTAATTGTCACTTCAAATACCATAGTAGTAGAGGTAGTAGAAGCGTAAGCAGGGTTCGACAATATTATTCAAGAAGTAGAATCTAGTGAAATCAACTTAAAAAGAAAAAGATAACGGTGATGAGGAATTTAGAAGGTTAGTATTTGAGAGAACACAAAGAGTGGATACACCTGCGCCACTGCAAACGGTTTTGAGCCATATCATTCAAGGTCCCTAACCATCGATTACTATCATCTCGCGGGCCCCAACCAGTTCAGTTAGTCGACACCTAACAACATGGCTCAGTCCATTTGTCAGTGACTTCATAGATTTGAGCCATGATTTGACTTGGACACTCATGTCTACGACCTGATGAAATCGCAAGCCTTCTTTTCAGGAAATGCACTGACATTCTGTCATCCAATCACGAAAATCCTTATTAGAATCCTTCACAACAAATTTTTTTACCAAAAATGTGCAGAATGCTAAAAATAATTCCGATTCAAAAGAAAGTATCTAGTTATAAGAATGTAAAATTTAGAACTAGAGTAGTTGTTTCAACTTTTCTTAACACAACAGAAAAACTTTTGCCACTCCAATTTCAACTTACATTAAAAGAATAAATAAAATGTTCTGTATAAATTTGCTTACAAATGTAAAAGGGACACCTTAAATGCTGCTGTTGTCTTGCATTATAATACAGTGTTCAGCTTAGGAATGAGTAAGAAATATGTTTGATATGCATTTCTAGATCATTCGTCTGCCTTAGAATCTTTAGCAAGACTACGACTACTGAACAAGCCTATCAGCTCTTACCTCTCTCAAAGAGAATAATAGACTATACTTGAAGTAAATTGTCCAGCGTCTTCACCGAATCAAGCAGGTATGTCAATTGGAAGTGTTTGTTTTTTCTCATTTTCTCTAGATGTTCTACCATATTCTACAGAAAAACTTCTTTTAAGTATGCGGATGATCTCACTGTATGTATACCGATTTCTGACGCATCACATCCCCCCGGAGATGAATGAGTTCTAGTCATTACTCATTGAACAATGGTCTGTCGCTAATAGTCTCATGCTTAATCTTTCTAAACGTCAAGCTGTTAACCTTGACTTGAAACATGATCAGGACTTAAACACTCTGCTGGAATCTAATGACGTTTGTACTTTTAAAGATTCAATGATAACAACAATATCAAAGGTCATTTATCTTGGTGCAAGTTATTATTCCGATCTCTCAGTTTTCCTGTTATCGAATAAAGTTTCTCGTTTGATTTATTATACAAAGAGGCTACATACTTTTTGGCATTACTCAACATTTACTTTTACGCTTTGTAAACTCTGGCATATTACCTATTATCGTTTACCGCCTCCCATTATTAAGGAAAGATTGCTAATATTGATATTTTAAAGTATTTAGGACATTTATCAAGTAAGAAGAGGGCTATAGACTAGAGAAAGAAAACTTACTTTACCCAAAGCTACTGCACTTGTAGCCATATCCAACACAAAATGATTGTCGGGACTTTTACCAGGTGCTGCTAACGTAATTGGATTTGTACCGACAGCTAACTGTTTGTTGTTAAAATATAGAAGAAACATTCATTAATTAATAAACAATAAGGAGAGAAAAGACAATTATAAGACATAATTTGAAGAGTTTTTCAAATCCCATATCGAAATTTCTGATTTATCGATCGATGCTCATTTCGAATATCTCTATTGCTAACTGAATCTTCTTGTTTCATCCACTTTAGGTAAGGGAAATTGGTTGATATTGTTCATAGCTGTCAAATAAGACATAAGGATATCTTGATATGCAAATATTTTAACGCTTTGAAATTTCTGCAGAGTACACCAGATATTGTGATCTTCAAACCTGACACGGGGTTCTGAGGTAGTTGCTGTGAATAAAGAAGAGATGTTATCTATTCCTCGTGAAGGGAGGAAATTCTAGACGGATGTTCCGTCGAATAGTGAGTGATGTTAGAACATCGGAATCCAGCGTAAACTTCAATCTAATGAAGCTCCTTAGAGTGAAGTTTGTAAACAAGGAGGAATTCAGTATGCTAAAAACTAACGGGTTCTGAACCCCCGAATTCATAGATTTAGTCAGTCAGTCTATTACTACGTAGAACTTCGTACGTACGTACGTACGTACATCAGTTCAGGCTATAATACTGCATCAGCACAGAGACGCAGCTATCACGTCAAATCACATAGTGGTAGCGATAGTAGAAGTATTAGCAGTAATGTAGGAGAATAGGGGCTCGAAGATATAATTCGAAAAGTATAATTCAGTGAAATAACTTTAGAAGGAGAAAGAAAGAGATGATGAGGAATTCAAAAGTTTAAACTTGTAACAACCTTAGTGGAGCAACCGAACCCTGACCAAGTCACCAACACAACAAACGAGGAATGGAAAGGAAGTCAATAACAGAGAAAAGAGACGAACGCGTGGACATCTGTTTGGGAATAGGTGCTCAAGAGCGCCAACACAAGACTGTAGATAATGATCTCCACCGGTTGCACACGTCTCCTCTCTCTCCAGAATGAACTCCATACTGCTCTTTCTCCTTTTCTTTTGAATCCTCACAAAGGGGTGCGGTGTCGAAACAACACACCCCCCCTCCCAAACAGAAAACCAAAAAAAAACATGCGAGAGGAGAGAAGATACTTGTTACGCAAAGACATATGAATCAAGTAAAAAAAACAGGGGGGAGAAGGGAGAGGATGAGAGAGAGAGACAGAGGGTGTGGGGAAAGGGAGGAGAGGGGGAGGGGAGGAGGTAAAGGAAAGGATGTAGGAAGTATGAAGAAGGGGAGAAGAGGATGAGAAGGAGATAGATGATTCGGGGGGTAAAAAAAGGAGGGTGTGAAAGAGTGTTAAGATTGGTGTAAAAAAGTAATATAAGAGCTTCATTAGATTGAAGTTTACGCTGGATTCCGATGTTCTAACATCACTCACTATTCGACGGAACATCCGTCTAGAATTTCCTCTCTTCACGAGGAATAGATAACATCTCTTCTTTATTCACAGCAACTACCTCAGAACCCCGTGTTAGGTTTGAAGATCACAATATCTGGTGTACTCTGGAGAAATTTCAGAGCGTTAAAATATTTGCATATCAAGATATCCTTATGTCTTATTTGAGAGCTATGAACAATACCAACCAATTTCCCTTACCTAAAGTGGATAAAACAAGAAGATTCAGTTAGCAATAGAGATATTCGAAATGAGCATCGATCGATAAATCAGAAATTTCGATATGGGATTTAAAAAACTCTTCAAATTGTGTCTTATAATTGTCTTTTCTCTCCTTATTATTTATTAATTAATGAATGTTTTTTCTATATTTTCACAACAAACAGTTAGCTGTCGGTACAAATCCAATTACGTTAGCAGCACCTGGTAAAAGTCCTGACGATCATTTTGTGTTGGATATGGCTACAAGTGCAGTAGCTTTGGGTAAAGTAAGTTTTCTTTCTCTAGTCTATAGCCCTCTTCTTACTTGATAAATGTCCTAAATACTTTAAAATAACAATATTAGCAATCTTTCTTTAATAATGGGAAGCGGTAAACGATAATAGGTAGTATGCCAGAGTTTAGAAAGCGTAAAAGTAAATGTTGAGTAATGCCAAAAAGTATGTAGCCTCTTTGTATAATAAATCAAACGGAAAACCTAGATTCGATATCAGTAAAACATGAAAAGACCAAGAGAGATCGGAATAAAAACTTGCACCAAGATAAATGACCTTTGATATTGTTGTTATCATTGAATCTCCAAAAGTACAAACGTCATTAGATTCCAGTAGAGTGTTTAAGTCCTGATCATGTTTCAGGTTAAGGTTAACGGCTTGACGTTTTGAAAGATTAAGCATGAGACTATTAACGACAGACCATTGTTCAATGAGTAACTAAAACTCATTCATTTCCGGGGGGATGTGATGCGGCAGAAATCGGTATACATACAGTGAGATCGTCTGCATACTTAACAGAAGTTTTTCTGTAGAATATGGTAGAACATCTAGAGAAAATGAGAAAAAAGAACACTTCCAATTGACACACCTACTTGATTCGGTGAAGACGCTGGACAATTTACTTCAAACACAGTCTATTATTCTCTTCAAGAGAGGTAAGAGCTGTCAGGCTTGTTCAGTAGTCGTGGTCTTGCTAAAGATTCTAAGGCAGAAGAATGATCTAGAAATGAGTATCAAACATATTTCTTACTCATTCCTAATCTGAACACTGTATTATACATAATGCAGGACAACAACAGCATTTAAGGTGTACCTTTTTACATTTGTAAGCAAATTTATACAGAACATTCTATTTATTCTTTGAATGTAGGTTGAAATTGGAGTGGCAAAAGTTTTTCCATTGTTTTAAGAAAAGTTGAAACAACTATTCTAGTTCTAAATTTTACATTCTTATAACTAGATACTTTCTTTTGAATCGGAATTATTTTTAGCATTCAGTACATTTTTGGTATAAAATTTGTTGTGAAGGATTCTATGAAAGATTTTCGTGAATGGTTGACAGAATGTCAGTGCATTTCCTGAAAAGAAGGCTTGCGATTTCATCAGGACGTAGACATGAGCGTCCAAGTCAAATCATGGCACAAATCTATGAATTCACTGACAAGTGGACTGAGCCATGTTGTTAGGTGTCGACTAACTGAACTGGTTGGGGCCCGCGAGATGATAGTAATCGATGGTTAGGGACCTTGAATGATATGGCTCAAAACCGTTTGCAATGGCGCAGGGGCATCCACTCTTTGTGTTCTCTCAAATACTAACCTTCTAAATTCCTCATCACCTTTATCTTTTTCTTTTTAAGTTGATTTCACTAGATTCTAATTCTTGAATAATATTGTCGAATCCTAAAGTTTCCGATTACTCCTAACGCTTCTACTACCTCTACTACTATTGTATTTGAAGTGACAATTACATCTCCATGCTAATATGTTATGGCAACTTGAAGTGATTTATGTTCGTGCGTACGAAGTTTTATGTTGTAGCTGACTGACTGAGGTCGTAGACATTGAGACTAGTTAAGTGACTGGAGACATTTCCGGACATCAGTCACAGTGAAGACTGGCATACAAATCCTATTTCATACTTGTGGATATTTTTTTGTCGCCAACGCGTTAGGAGAAATTCGACAACATGGTTCACAGTCAGTCGCAATGAAGCAAAATAGATTTTACTAATTTGTCTGCTTTAAGATTTCCAGTTTTTATATAACCTTATTCTTTATTCTGAAATCATATTTTCTTCATGTCTTTTGAACATGAATCAAATTAAATTTATCAAGATTATTATTTGTCTAGTTGAATTGTTTGTTTAAAATTCTTTTTTTTAAAAAAAAGATTGAAATGTGTCGAAGAAGAAACGTTCAAATACCTAAAGGATGGGGTGCTGATGCTGATGGTAAAGTAAGTCACATGATTCTATGTTTGTTTGTTTGTTTTTTAAAAAAATATTTAATTTTCAATAATTTCATACATTTTCTACATAAAATGAATGAGCTTTCTTAGAAAAAAATCTACTGGTTAGGCGTTCGCGCACAATCCCGAAGGTCCTGGGTTCGAATCCTGCGGGTGCAGGAGTCGTGAATGCGCACTGCCACTGATGAGTCCCATGCTAGGACGAAACGGCCGTCTTTCAATGCTTCCAGGTTTCTTATGGTGGTCTAACATTGATCGATTCATGGTTTCAAAAATGTGTAAAAAAACTATTCTCATTTATGTGACATCATAATAGTGAACTAATTAATTGTAAACCCTAGATGGAACTCGTCAAAAAAACGATAAACGATTCGTTATTTTTAATGTTTATTCATTCTTCAGTTCTAAATTTTACATTCTTATAACTAGATCTCATCAGTGCTGATGGTCTGGTGACTGACGAAATCTCAGCTCAGATACAGAAGGCTTGATTGGTTTTCGCCAACCTGAGTCACCTATGGCGCAGGCAAGATATCCGTTTGCGGACTAAAGAACGAGTGTACTGTGCAACAGTTCGCTCCGTCCTACTGTAGGGATGCGAGACTTGGCCGTTAAGAGTAGAGGACTTCCGTAGGCTACTCGTCTTCGATCAGAGGTGTATCTGAAGCATTGATCGTGTATCCTGGGACGACCGTATAAGCAATGCTGGCTCAGAATCGTTTGCAATGGGGCAGGTGCATCCACTTTTTGTGTTCTCTCTAATTCTAAGCTTCTGCATTCCTCATAATCTCTACCTTTCTCCTTCTAAATTTATCTTACTGAATTATACTTTTCGAATCAAATCTTCGCTCCCTAATCTTCTCCATTACTGCTCCGTTACTTCTATTATTGCTATCACTCTTGGATTTGAACTTACAGTTGCGTCTCTGTGCTGATGGGGCATGGCAACCTGAACTGATGTACTTACGTACGAAGTTCTGCGTTGTATCTGTCTGTCTTATAACTAAATACTTTCTTTTGGATCGGAATTATCATTCTCCAACTTTTTTTGGTTTAAAATTTGTTGTGAAGGATTCTATTAAAGATTTTTTGTGAATGGATGACAGGATGTCAAGACATTTTTTTTAAAAAGAAGGCTTACGATTTCATCAGGTCCTAGGCGGCGTTGGGATAAGTTAATTAAGTGACTGGATATTGATAGCATGACATCTGATGATTAATGCACAAAAGATTTATTTATTTACGGTCCGCATCGTTTTTTTCCTTAACTAAGATGACATGGTTCCAAATCGGTCGCAATGAAGTAACTTGATTTGCCATTTTGAACGTTAATCAAATGTAATAGGTCGTGAAGATTCAATTCATTCTATGCTGTTTAATTTTAGCAAAAAACTAAATCCAGTGTGTCATTATTTCACTTCATTATACAAATGACAGTATTTAGCCTTCTATTTTATTTGGATACACACTTTTATGTTTCAAAAATATGTACTAATTAGTAAAGTACTTTTTATGCTTTCTACCCAATAAACAGAAAGTAGTCATACATACGTTATAAATAAGCATTATTCAAAATTGACTTACTTACTTACTGACTGACTTACACCTATTACCTCTGATGGAGCAGCAGCATAAGCTGCCTGATGACCAGCGACTTATTTCTTTTATGATTGGCATTATTTTTTTAGCAAGTTGGTTTTCTATGGGGTGGAACTGCTAACCCCGCCCGCACTCGACCCTCCTCTATCCGCGCTTGGGCCAACAGGAACCCCAGAAGGGCTCCAGGCAGAGTTATAAACTTAAAAAAAACTCAAAATCATAAAATAGTTATCACACATGCCTAGTTTTACTACTCTTCTTATTTCATCGTTTTTGTAGTTTTTCTTTTTCCTGAATTCACCTTTTTTCTCTCTTTGAAATTATTTAGACATGTGTTGATCCAAATGTAGTTGTTACAAAGGGTGGTTTAATGCCTTTGGGCGGTGAAGAAGAAAATAGTAAGTCAACTGGTTAATAATAATCTTTCGTTTATTGAAATTATACTAGTCCTATAAGCATGAATAATAGATTTAAAAAAATCATTGTGTCTGAAGTAAACTAACCGTTAAGAGTGTGTTGGTTAGAAATGGAATCTAAGACACTTGTTTTGCTCCGATTTAAGACTTGTGTCTTCAACCCAATGTAGCTTCTATCTGAACTCAATAGTAGCTCAGTGGATAGAAATGAAAGGTGGTACTACTGGGTTCGATTCCCCGGTATAAATATCAAAATTTGTATGTTGATATCGCTTGATGACCGGTTTCAAATAAGATAAAACACCTATTCTTTAGATTTCCCTATCAGTCACAATTTCATCCTATATACTTGATGTTATAATAGCTATGTCCAACCAACCCACATATGTCGACAGAGACTGATTAATTTCGGTCAATTATATCAAGTAACGAGATAATTCAAACCTTTCCTCTCACTGATTGATATAAATCATATCATGATTCATTAAACAGAAATTTCACGTACAAATATCCCTTACATCATAGTTAATCTCTATTCAGCCAATCAAATAGCACCCTGAAACTTTACACACATGATCTTTATTGATTAATTAGATTTTTTTATAGTCGTTGTTGATTATTATTGTGAACTTTTAAATGTTAAGAGATTAACTATTTAATTAAATGTAACTGAAAGTACACATACATACGGTATGTATGTATGTATATCCTCCGCCTGTACAGTTATTTGTAATTGGTATACTAGTCCGGAAGATGGAAAATACTTCACATCATATAAAAATGGCTTTTATAATTTAAATATTTATGAATGGCATATTCACTGTGACTGGAAATAACACTAATTCTGAATTATCCTCTGTGTTTGTTACGCATGCATGTAAACACATCAATTGATACACTTGAACTATTACGAGTTTATCTCTGACAGTAAACGAGAGGTAGTTAAATTTACTTGAAACTTGATGAATTTTCATTAAGTGAACAAAGAATAAACTAGAAATGAGCTCATCATTCAATATAGTACAAAAGTGTAACAATACTAGCACGTTTGGGATGCGACTCTCTCCCTCAAAATGCATAATATTGGTTCCGTACTAGTTTGCATCAACTCCTCAACTATTGATGGGAAGTGAAGTAGTTTAGTTTGTCGGTCACTTCATTTATCCTGTGAGTATCATCAGCTTGATTGGCTTCTGCTCATTTGCGTGTAGGCCATATATCTGTCTGCTATCCAAAGGATGAGTTCGTTGCACAGAAATTCTCTCCGTTCTACTCTACGACTGTGAAACATGGCCATTAAGAATAAAGGATATTCGTAGCCTATTAGTATTCCATCACAGGTGTCTTCCAAGCAATGTTCTGGTATCCTGGGACCACTGAGTAAGCAATGCTGGTGTTAGGAATAGTGTACTAGATAAAGATGGTAAATCAAGTAACGAATAGTGATTCTTCATCAGTTGATGTGGTTGGGACATGTTTTTAAGTATGCCCAACAACGACTACCTCCACGAACAATGTTTTGTGATTGTAGGAGTAGGCTTGGAAAAATCTAGGAGCGCACAACCAAAACATAGTAAAAATCCATGAAGTCACTGAAAACTGGACAAAGCGTTGTAAGTAGGTGTAGGCTACTTGCTTGGTTGTGATCCGCGTGGTAATCGTAACCAGTGGTTACAGACTTTGAATGACGTGGCTCAAAATCGTTTACACTGAAGCACATTCATCATTCTTTTTCTTCCTCCAAATGATAGGCTTCCAAATTCCTTATAACCTCTTTTTCTTTTAAATATATAGATATCCCGAATTATTAAATTTATTAGTAACAGACTGAAACCAAACGTGAGAATGTGGGTGATAACCCGTCGAATAAACCAATTCACTTAATGACTATGACTCACCTACGCTTCTGACCTTGAGATTTAGTTTAGCCTAATAAGTTCTCTCTAGTTCAATTAATAACGCGGGAAAAAAAGTTAGTACAGCTTAAAATCTTAACTCAATAAACCATCACTTCACGAAAAAAACATAGAAGCGATTCGAAAAATGCTTTAAAAAGTAAACAGAATTTGATTAAATATCTAGAAAATTTACACAAAGTCATATTTCAAAGTTACTCTGCTCATCGATTATGTGATCATCACTTAAACTTTTTCAAAACATGAAGATGTAATTGTTTCTTGGCAAAAAGTTATAGTTCCTAAATTGAAAGTTGATTTTCAGCTTCACCAAATAATCATATATTAAAATATTGCCTGACCGTAGCTGCTACCCTAGCTTGGTGTTCGGGTTTGCATATCGTCAGGGCGGTCGTACTGCTGACTAGATGGGTGTGACAGCAGTAAGTTGTTTTCCTCAGAAAACCAGCATCTGCGGTGATGCGGCTTTCTTACAATGAAGGAAGGGGTTAGACAAGTTTGATCCTAAAAATATCACACCTCACATTACTTGACGGATTTCAGTCTCCGGCGGTAAGGCTTTTTATAAAAAGAGCAGAGCTAACACTTTAAAGACTTCTTATAAAAAGACTGTGAGTAACCGGTCTTAAGCAGCTATCCGTTTGGCTCTGTGGTCACGCACCCAGGTTGCCATGACCACCTCCAATACGATTTCCTTTTTAGGTTCCTCAAGAAACACCCTTCCACGATGTGGGCAGCCGGGCAGTAACATCCACTCTCATACCCGTAACAACACATACTGAGACGGTGGGGAAAACTTGTAGCTCAGGTGGATGATTGTGGTGGTGTTTCGTTCTCTGAGCTGGTTGTTTTGGTTGTGGAGCTTTCATTGTTCTTCTGAACAGCATCATCAGCACAAACTTCAGATAGAATTGATGCATTCAGATTTCTCCACGTTAAGGTCAACAACAACCAATCAAGATCGAGGTTAGCAGAATAAGCTACAGGTCAAACGTGTAGAAATTTGAATGCTTCACTTCTATCTGAAGTTTGTGCTGAGGATGTTGTTCAGAAGAACAATGAAAGCTCCACAACCAAAACAACCAGCTCAGAGAACGAAACACCACCACAACACATATTAAAATATTGAAAAAGGTTGTATTCTACAGAAATAGTATTTTATAATGTAAATAAAGTTATTTACAATTTAGATTTAGTCTTTAGTTTTATCTCATTGGGAACTTTTTATTTCTAACAATAACATGAAATAAATTACATGTTTATTGTTGCTTTAGACTTTTTGGATTTAAAACAAAAATGATAATTTATAAGGTTCATGCAGTATTATTTCCTATTAGTCACTGTTCGTACAATAAAAATGAAAAAAAAATAGTTAAGAGGTTCATGAAAACCTGTAATAGCTGAGCTCTAACTAACGTCTAGCTAGCTGTAAAGGTAAACAGTAAAAGTTTTGAATGTTACAGATACTGGTCAGTCGTCTGGTTGTGTTATGTGATGCTCAATTTCCATATTTACTACCTAAGCTTGCCCAACCGGCTACATGAGTGAGAAGACCAAGTGTAAGAAGGAATACTTTATTGACTAGTCAAATAGAAGACGTCTCTTAGGAAATTATAGCACCAAAGCTGTATGCCTTATTTCTTAGAAATGCAAGTTTCTTTTGGCCATTCGCGTGCACGTATCATTTGACCAATTTGTGACTGTTCCAATGTATCACTTCTAGTAGCTGGAAATATTTCTTATTCAGCTACTTTTAAGCTATATTGCTATATAGAGCTGAAGGTTTCTTATGAGACTAGACGTTCGTTATGATGAATATTGTGTCTGGTTTAACATTACTTCGGGAAAGTTTTGCTAACAGTCCATGGTTTGCAGGGCAACCGATTTCATTGATAATGGTGGTTGTCTTGCAACGTTCCCAAGGACCATTGTCATTGGGATGCTGTATAGCATATCACCATTGCTAGTAATAATGAGTTTAACAGTCATGTAAGCGGAATGGGTCACATTGGTCTGTTCATGCTGTGCATACTAAATGACATAATCATGGGTCGGAAATAATCACCATATGTATTGGTGTGTATATAAATGGTGTGAATGGTTCACCAGGGTATCAGGTACTTGTGTGTTGGTAGCGCCACAGGACTGAGCTGTACTGTTCACGTTGGAGTATTGACACGTGGGCGGTCTCCTCGGTTCTATTGAGGGTGAATCTATACTTTTAATTGATATGAACAAGGTCATACTTGAGAATTTCTCCATTTTAATTATTTCATCTGAATAAACAAAATAACTTATACTTCTAAAAACAAAATCAATTTCATCTTTATCTTCATTATTTTCTTCTATCAAAACCTTAAACAAGGTGGCTATAAAGGTTACGGTTTAGGAATGTTTGTTGAAATTTTATGCGGAATTATTGCAAATGCTGCATATGGAGCAAATATTCGTCGATGGATGTCAACTGATAAACCAGCTAATTTGGTAGGTTTAAAAAATAGAAAATAAAATTTCTAGTTCATATTATTTATATTTGTAATGCCTTTTATCATGTAAAATACATTTGGCAAAGTCTTCAACAGGGTATTGTTAAACAGAATGAAGGACTTCGTAGACGCCCAACTTCGAGATCAACAGGCTGGATTTTGTAAGGATCGATCGTGTACTGACCAAATTACAACATTACGGATCATTGTGGGGCAATCAATAGAATGGAACTCACCACTCTACATCAACTTAATTGACTATGAGAAAGCATTCGATAGCGTGGACAGGACAATACTATGAAGGCTCCTTCAACACTATAGCGTGTCTGAGAAGATAGTCAACATCATACGGAATTCTTATGATGGATTAAACTGCAAAATCGTGCACGGAAGTCAGCTGACAAACTCGTTTGAGGTGAAGACCGGTGTCAGGCAAGGTTGCTTACTCTCACTCTTTCTCTTTCTTCTGGTGATCAACTGGATTATGAAGACGTCAACATCTGAAAGAAAGCACGGTACTCGACGGATAGCTAGGATGCAGCTGGACGATTTAGGCTTCTCAGATGACCTGGCTCTTCTATCACACACGCAATAACAAATGTAAGAGAAGACAACCAGTGCAGCAGCAATATCATCAGCAGACCTCATCATACATAAAGGGAAAGGCAATATTCTACGACACAACTGAACATGCGCCAACCAAATCACTCTTGTCGGACATTCTTTAGAGGACGTTAACACCTCAACATATCTTGCCAGCATCATCGACAACCAATGTGGATCCGATGCAGATGTGAGGGCGCGGATCGGCAAAGCAAGGGCTGCATTTATACAATCGAACAACATTTAGAACTCCAAAACAACCGTCAACAAACACCGAAGTCAGAATTTTCAATACAAACGTCAAAACAGCTCTACTGTATGAGGCGGAAACTTGGAGAACTATCAAAGCCATCATCCAGAGGATACAAGTATTTATGAATAGTTGTCTACGCAAAATACTTCAGATACGTTGGCCAGACACTATCAGCAACAACTTACTTTGGGAGAGAACAAACCAGATTCGAGTGGAGGAGGAAATCAGGAAGAAGCGGTGGAAGTGGATAGGACACACACTACGAAAAGCACCTAACTGTGTCACAAGACAAGCCCTCACTTGGAACCCTCAAGGTAAAAGGAAAAGAGGAAGGCCAAAGAACACATTACGCCGAGAAATAGAGAAAGACATGAGAAGAATGAACAAAAATTGGACAGAACTGGAAAGGGAAGTCGAGGATGGAATTGGTTAGAGAAAACTAGTGGGCGGCCTATTCTCTCCATTGGGGATAACAAGCGTACGTAAGTAAGTAAGTAGGTTTATCATATACCAAATAATTGATATTTATGTGTATACGTATATTAAGTTTTACATTAAGAATGTTGCACTATTTCTTTTTATAGATCAGATAATTATTCTTAGGACAACTATGTGTGTGTTAGTTATGATATAAAACGATATATGCAAGCCATTGTACTCCATCTATCAATGACTTTTTTTAATGAACTTATCAACTGATAGATATTTTATTTTCAAGCTAGTTAATCACTACTATAATTTAAAACATGATGTTGTGAATAATATTTACTAAATGATGGTGTTCAAAGTGTATTTGTTTGCATATGTTTACTTGTTTTTTGAATTCATTAGTGACTTGTATGTTAAGACAACAAAACTTGAACTATTCTAAAAAAGTTATGTCTTTTAACTTCACACTTAACCAGAACTACTATATTTTTTTCAAAAAAATAAAACTTAAATTATTCAATGTCTTATTGATTTTAATTTCAAATTGTAAATATACTTACTAGTCAATAAGATTTATATTCAAAAAATACAATGAATTTTTTAAAAGATAAAATCAATATCTCAGAAGCCATAACTATTGGACATCAACCCTGTCTGGCGTATGCAAAATTCCTCACTGAGAAGATAGACGATGAGGTTGTGCAAAATCCGTAGATTGATCAAAGTTGGACATTCACATCGTTGGATGCTGGCTTTGTGGTTTAGAGGTTAAGCGCTCGTGTGTAATACCGACGTTGCTGTGTTCGATTCACGCAAGTGAGGGTTGTACTAGATACGTACTGCTCATGAGTCTGATATTTGGACTTTACAAGCTATCAAATGCCTCCAGGTTTATAACGGTGGTCTAACATTAAAATCGTTCGCAATGGCGCCGGTGCATTTATTCTTTGTGTTCTCTCAAATCCTAATCTTCTGGATTCTTTAACACCTCTAGTTTTGTCTTTCTAAACTTTTCTCATTAAATCATACTTCTTGAATAATATCTTCTAATCCTAACCTCTTCGATTACTTCTAATACCTTTTGCTACCTCCTCTACTACTATTGGATTTTAAATTGACAATTACATCTCTGTGCTGATGTGGTATGGCAACATGAACTGATGTACTTACGTACGTACGAAGTTCTACGTCGCATCTGACATCTGAACATTAAGTACTGATCCACAATTTCAATGTAAAACAACAGTGATCACATTAAAAGATGATCATTACATGAATCAAACAAAAATTTCACTTATATATACAATCATATTTCTTTAATGATTAAATTGAGTAATTAAATTTAAATCAAGTATAGGCAAATAGTCAATAGTTAAAATGGATGACACGTAGTTGAGTAGTTGTATGTACAAACTAATCGAATTTTTTTTTAAAAAAAAATATAAAGTAATGACAAAAAATGATCAATAGAGTGAGTGGTATTTGATGATCGAATGTTTGTTTTTTATTAACCACAAGTTTTAAACATTGCTATTGCATTAACCAAGTTCTCAATGGATGAGTGCATGCAGTTGAAAACAATTCACTTATAATAAATATTATAGAATAAAAATAGATTGTAAATGTGCTATTTGGTTCGTTTTTTAAAAAAATTGATTTCTTAAAATAAAAATATGTCAATGAGTGATGACGTAATGTGTATTATTTAAAAAAGAACTAATTCACATAATATCTATTGAAAACAAAGTATTGAAATTAACTAATTTCTTTATTATTTTCTTCAAAATTATTCAGTAGTATGTTTAAATTAAGTTGAAATCATTTATATTGTATAACAATGATGTACTGCGCAGTAGTTCGCTCCGTCTTACTTTACGGCTGTGAAACATGGCCAGTGAGAGTAGAAGATATTCGTAGGCTACTGGTTTTCGATCATAGGCGTCTTCGAAGCATTGCTCGGATATCCTAGGACAACCGAGTGAGCAACGTTGTTATTAGGAATCGGGTGCTAGGTAAGAATGGCAGATCAATCGATGAATTGGTGAAACTTCATCAGTTGAGGTGGTTGGGACATGTGTTACGTATGCCTAACCACCGACTGCCTTGACGAGCTTTGTTTTGTAGTGTAGGAATAGGTTGGAAGAAAGTTAGGGGTGGCCAAACCAAAACATGGCAGAAATCCATGAAATTATTGACGAGTGGACTTAGCCATGTCGGTAATTGTCGATTACCTGGTTGGGGTCCGCGAGATGATAATAATCGATGGTCAGATACCCTGAATGACATGGCTCAAAATCGTTCGCAATGGTGCTGGTGCATTTATTCTTTGTACTCTCTCAAATCCTAATCTTCTGGATTCGTCAACACATCTACCTTTGTCTTTCTAACCTCATCTCATTAAATCATACTTCTTGAATAATATCTTCTAATCCTAACCTCTCCGATTACTTCCAATACCTTTACCTCTTCTACTATTGGATTTGAATTGAATTGGCAACATGAACTGATTTACTTACGTACAAAGTTCTACGCTGCAACTGACTGACTACGCTATTGCAAACGGTTTCGAGCTATGTCATTCAAAGTGTTTCATCGTCGATTACTATTATGTCTACACTTACCAACATGACTCAATCCACTTGTCAGTGACTTCATGGATTTGTGTCATGTTTTGGTTTTTCCGCCCCTAGCTATCTTCCATCCTACTCCTACATAACATAATATCACTCGACGACGCACACATGTCGCAACCACTTTAAATGATGAAAATTCATCACTTCATCAATTTATTTGCCATCCTTACGTAGTATTTGTGTCCTAACAACAATGAGTGTATACTTTATATATATAAAATATGAATTATAGTACATTTTAAAACTAAAGTTGTACGCTCTCTACTGATGAAAGTACTAAACGAGTATCGTTTTGTTTATAGAGAGAAGAGAATTAGGTAAATAGTGTATTATAAGCTACAGTACACTATTTATATGGACTTTCTTTTTGAAATACCTTGTTTCTCCTTGTCATAAGTCTATTTTACTAGTATTTGGTATAGTTTGTTAGAAGGAGAATGTATGTACATTTTGCTCAATCTCTAAAAATGTCTGTATATTTGATATACAAAAGCTCTGGATTTATTTCTTTTTAAAAAGAAGTATTTTTACACAAAATATTAAATTATATTTACAAAAAGTCTTTTTTGGTTCCTTTTTTCTGTTTTGATAAAATAAAATTTTGAAAATTGCCTTACAATTTATGGTGTCTTATTTTTTAATTATTAACAGGGTCAATCATTTCTAGCCATTAATCCTAAAATGTTCGCACCAGGATTTGAAGAACGATTATCGGATTATGTGAATATGATGCGTAATCTACCAGCAGTAAGTTTTTTTTTATGTTTACAATTTAAAATTGTACGTATAAACAATTTAAAAATGATTTGCTCTTTTCAACTAGAGCTATGGAGATTAGTATGTTTTTACTCAATGAAATCATCAGTCAATCATTGTTAAACCACCATTAGAAACCTGGAGGTACTGGGTGGACGTCATATTCTGGCATACGATTCATCAGCAGTGCGCATCGATCATTCGCGGGATTCGAACCCAGGACTATCGGTATTGCACCACAGAACCGCCATCCAACGGTATTAATGCCTAACTTTGATCAATCTAGGGATTTTGCGCGATCTCAGCCATTCATAATATTATAATGCAAAATCAACATTTGTGCTCACTAGTGACTAGCTTCTCGGAGTTGTAGTGCGAAGATGTGATCAGTTGAGAGTTCAACCTTGTCATGTGTAGGCAGTAACTATCAAACACAAATACGTGAGGTTGCACAAAATCTTTAGATTGATCAGAGTTAGACATTAACACCGTTAGATACCAGCTCAGTGGTCCAGAGGTTAAACGTTCGCATGCAAGACCGAAGGTCCTGCGTTTGAATCTTTCGAGCATCAAGACTTGACGGTCATCTAGTGGTTCTGGCCTTTTAATGGTGGTCTAGCGATGATTCATCCATGATTTCATTGTGCAAAAATATTGTTTTATTATAATATATATATGTATCAACATTTTTTTATTTAATACTTATTGCATGTCAAACTCGTTAAAACTACTAGTCCGATTTCAATAGACTACCTGATGAAAAATTAATAGTTTGAGAATTTAATAATTAAAACCCTATCATCAATAGATATTTATTCCTACCAGTTGAGTAGCTGGAAAGGATATATATGTTTACTCAAAGTAACATATAAAATATAACTCTACAAAATTTCTAATTATCACAGTGATAAGTTTTGGGGCAGTGTTTTGGAGGTTTGTGTTCTTTTTTTCACATTTGAAATCATCAATCAATCATTGTTACTAGACCACCATTAGAAACCTGGAAGCATTGAAAGACGGCCGTTTCGTCCTGGTATGGGACTGACTCATCAGTGGCAGTGCACATCCACGACTCCTGCTCCTGGCAGGTTTCGAACCCGGGACTTTCGGTATTGTGCGCGATCGCCTAACCATTGGACCACTGGGCAGGAATCCAACGGTGATAAATAAGTTTCAACAAAAATAGCAACCCATCTTTTTCTGTATAATAATGCTTATCATTTTTGTGAATGAACACTTTATATATGATAAATTTAACATGAAATCAATTATTATCTCATAGAGAGTGGTGACATATACATTCATTCATTCGCACTTGATCATTTTTTCATATTCAAATTAAATCTACTGTTTGTTTGTTTTTTAAAAAAACTATTCTCAATAAGATGACGACAAGTATTCACCAATTCAAATGATAAATTTGATAATGTTTTAAAAAAATTCTTTGTTTATATAAATCAACTTATTAAATATTCCATTAATTAAAGTGTATGCAAGTAAGAAATCCTTACTATTATTAACTTGTTGGGGATGTTAGATCCCCAGAACTCACTACTTGATCAATGTCTTAATTTTGGATTTTATTCACGAGCTGATCAGTTGACATTGAGATCATATTTCCCATCAGGAAAATCCTTGGCTGTGATTGGTTGTTGTGTTATTTTTGTGTGCTATTTTTATGACTCTTCCAAGGACGTTTCTATGATGTATAAATGAACGCGATTTGTATGCTTGAGATCATTGTGCTGACTGGTTGTTTGTAGAATATACTTTCTATGCTATATCAAGACGTTTCGTTAGTCAACGGATCAGGGTAGCCTACCTGGACGCTGGTTCATTGTCTCGTTCTCGTTTATCGACTAAGGGGAACCCGTAATAGTTTCAAGCATACCTAGTGACGAGCTTAATATAACCATATAAACAGTATATTTATTAAACGAATTATGTAACTGTATGTAAACTCAGTAAACTCAGTAAATTATGGATTAACAGTTAAGGCGACTGATACTAACTTCTACTTCAAGTATGAACACCAACATTAGGATTTCTCCAGTTAATCTATCTCTAATAAGATGAACAACCCTTTTTCGGATTCCACCATGTCATGCTCGTCAATTGATATGCTTGAATGCTATTACGAGTTCACCTTAGTCGATAATCGAGAGCTAAGACAAGTGATCCAGTGACACGATAGGCTACTCTAATCTGAGCGTCCCAAGGCCCCCACTAATTAGAAGAAGAAGTCTTGACAAGCACACTAATCGCGTTTATTTATATACAAGATAGGAAGGTCCTTGGGAGAGCTACAAAAATAGCGTACTAAAATAATACATACATCAACCAATGACATTCAAGGATTTTCCGGGTGGAAAATGTAATCTCAAGGTCAACTGACTAGCCCATGCTCGAAAACATAAAATCCAAAATTAGGAGTTCTGGGAGATTTAACGTCCCCCAACAAACACATCACTAATCACAATACATATATTATATCCAAAATTGTATTAGTTTACATTTGTTCAAGGCTTGACACTTTAATATATCTAGTGTTTTAGAGTATTTAACTATCAACGATCTCAATGACAAATACCAATACACAATTTCTTCATAGAACACTTAAAGAAATAAATACATGGTCAATATAGAAAAAAGTTGAACTTCTGAATAAATAAATTTTTGTATAGATTAAATTCAATCATTCTTATTGGACACTTATAATAGTGCATATTTCAAGGTCATATTTTAAAAAAATACTTAAATAAATTAGCGGAACACATGATGTTGTGATACAGTACGTCATTACAACAGTGTTTTCCTACTATATTGATTGAATTATTGCTGATTTACTGGAAATGTATATTGTTTTTAATTTTTTGAAAATTAAGATTTATTCTTTTTGTATAAGAAGTTCATGTCAACGATTTATCGACATTTCTATTCAATATGACCAAAATGAAGAATTATTGATTGTGTTTTTAAAAAGTAAAGGTACATGTTGTTCTTGTTGTAATTGTTAGAGAGAGAGAGAGAGAAATACAAATTACAGTTGATAGAAAGTCAAGTTTTGTGAATTTTGAATGACCTTTGTTTGAATGATAATGATTTTAGTTTAAGTAATAAAATAAACTTTAATTCAATACATGTGATGGTTTGAATGAACCCGATAAAACAAGTGAATATAGTGATCAACAAATAAATTCAGTGTAGCTAAATGGATAATGCGCTAATATTTGAAATGAAAGGCATTGAGAGTTTGAATTCTGAAGTGAATATAAACTCCAAGATTCAACTGATGAGTCCTGGGATAGTGCGAAACACTTGTTTTGGATTCTACTGATTCAACAAAAAACTTGTACTGAGCCAATTCAAACAGAATGCACATTTATCGAATAAGATTGATCATTGAACATTGAAATCATCAATCAATCATTGTTAGACCACCATTATAGAAGCTTGGAAGCACCGGATGGCCGTTTCGTCCTGGTATGGGACGAACTCAGGACCTACGAGATGCATGAGTCGTGGATGTGCACTGCCACTGATGAGTCCCGTACCAGGACGAAACAGCCGTCTTTGATTGATGATTTTAATATGCAACAAATACTAATCTCCATAACTGGTAAGAGGAAAGATTGAATCATATTTTATTGAAATTCTAAAATTCATATAATAATTGTTTACTTTTATAAACTATTTACAATACTAATAATAGGTGGATAATAGTAAACCTGTGAAGATTCCTGGAGATTTTGAAAGAGATTCATATGGTAGGAATTGTGATCAACTTGGTGGTATCCCATATCCTCCCAGTATTGATTGAGAGTTTAGTAAGTTTGTTAGATATAATAATGATAATAATAGTAATATTAATGATAATCACAATTCACATTCTCTGTTAGTTCGCACAGCAATAAAGACCTGTTTCATCCAAGCATGGGCCTCTTTAGTAGTGCGCCTACCAGGGGGTCGAACTCGGGAACTTCAATTTCTAATTATAGTCAGTTCATGATGGATAAACTATTATCAAATGACTGTTTGGTAACTATCTCACCTTTGATATGATTAAACTCCACTGATCACATCTTCCTACTAGAACTATTAGGATCATTATGAAGCATTTTGCATAGTAGTTTCAAATATTCACTCCATTGATAAGGCATGACTAGTATTTATGGTCAGATAAAAATAACCCAGACATATGATACCAAAAGTAACAATACACGCATGCATTAGAAACAGTCAAGACTTTTAAGTGATAACTGACAAGGTCAAAAAATGTGTGAATGAATTAATAGAAGCCGATTGATTAGGTTGTCTAAAGGCTGATGAAAACAACCATGCAATTTAAACATTTCAGTGTACATTACAACCAATAGTAATACACCTAGGTTACTTGTGGTTAAGTAAAGAAATTCAATTCATTATTCTAATATCTTTTTTTGAGAGCAGGCATTAACTTGATTAAAAAAAATAAACCAATCAAAATCAACAATTTGGACCTTGGTGTATACCTTGTCTGATAAATGGGAAACACATATAAAGATTGACTATACCAAACAGAATACACTGTCTTTGTATATTTATTTAATTTAGCTGCTCTTGCCGAGTTAGTTAGTTATATGAGGTATACCCCATTCAACAAGTTCGTCATTATATATCTATCTATCTATCTATATATCTATATCTATATATATATATATATTCATGCAGTTATTACTTAATGTCATTATTTCTGTGTCATTTCTGCCTAATTTTCTCTCTTTTCTTTGTAGAATAATTTAGCCGATCGATTGAAAGTTAACAAAATGAAGATTATTAAAAATTTATAACCTATTCACTCACTTTATTATATTTTATACCAATCTGTTGTTGTATGCAGTTACCTTGTATTTATTTGTTCCTTTTTTTTTGGTTCCAATTATTTAGCTTTTATAGAGTGAAATTTATTGGCAAAAAAAACAAAATTAAATAGATTGTTTGCTTATTAGTTTTTTTAAAAAAAATACAATTGAACTTTGTTTCAAGCGCGCGCGAGAGAGAGAGAGTTTTTTTCTCTGTAATCATTCTATACTTTAGAACTGTTTGTTAGCTGCAGCTGAGAAGACTGAGGTACAAGCGAGGAAGATTGTATTATGCAAATTTACACTCTGAGTCAGTTGAAAACGAAAACATTACATTGAATACACTCTATTTGCACAGTATCTTTGAGTCGTGACTTCCAACGCTCCATCATCCTTCTTCCATTCCTGTTGTTGTTTTTTTCCTTCCTGTTGGTACTCCATTTACTTCTTGCTTTTGCTCCATTTGCTTTCCGTTTTCCTCTTGTGACCGCGAGACTTCTTTCACGTCCCTTCTTATACTACTTATATCGTTCGTATAAGTAGCACACACCAAACAGCCATACCAAAACACGGCGCGAATCCGTGAAGTTTATTGACAAGTGAACTGAGTGAGTCATGTTGGCAGGTGTCGACTACCAACAACTAGGTTGGGGCCCGCGAGATTGTAGTAATCGTTGGTTAGAGTGAGTGACCTTAAATGACGTGGCTCAGAATCGTTTGCAATGGCGCAGGTGCATTCATACTTTGGGTTTTATGGAATCTTAACTTTCTGAATTCCTCATCACTTTATCTTTATCTTATTAAGTCTATTTCACTAGATTCTACTTTTTGAATTATATTTTCTAATCTTGATCTCTGATTATTGCTAATATCTTTACTACTTTGAATTCACAATTACATCTCTCCTAATGTGGTATGACAACATGAACTGATGTACGTACGAAGTTCTACGTTGCGATTGATTGACTGTTTGTTAGCCTTATGACTAGTCATCTTTTAATATAGTACGATTTATATAAATAGATAAACAATGGAAAAGAAGTGACAATAATTGAACGGAAAAGTGGATATGACTTTTTTTTAAAGCGAAGTCAAAAGTACGTGATACTACTGAAATGATTGTTAGAAGAGTTTCATGTTACATTTTACGTAAGGAGACAATGGACACTTCACCAAACGATCAGACTAACAAATGCGCTCATCCACGACTCCTGAACCTCTCAGGATTCGAACCTGGGACTTCGGTCTTACGCGCGAACGCCTAACTTCCGGACCACTGGGCAGGCATCCAACGGTGTTAAAGTCTAAATCTGATTGATGTACAGATTTTGAGTGACCTCACCCATGTTGAGTGTAGGCAGTAACTACCAAAGACAAATGGGTGAGGTCGCGCAAAATCTCTAAATCAATCAGAGTTATATATTGACACCGTTGGATGCCGACCCTGTGGTCCAGAGGTAAGGCATTTGCGCACAGGACCGAAGGTCCCAGGTTCGATTCCTGTGAGGTTCAGGAGCCGTTCATGCGCACTGCTGATGCGTCCTGTACCAGGACGAAACGGCCTTCTAGGTTTCTAATGGTGGTCTAACAATTATTGATCAATGATTTCATTGTGTAAAAACTAATCTCCATAACTCTAATTGAAAATAACAAATCAGTATTATCAACCAATCGGTTTTCATTAAATAAATACCGACTGGAACCTATTTTCTCACTCCTTGATATTAAACAGTTAGCTTAAGTATACTATCAGTAAACGTTTGTAAACAGTCCATATGGTGATTAATAAAGATGAGACTATAATAATATATACGACCTTTGAGCGATACTAGAGTGATCTTGAGAAATGTAAACCGCATGTTTGAGTTATAAATCAACGTGAGAAATTACGATTAACAATTATAATTAACGTTTTCATCATGAACTGATTATTCACTTTTAATACTAAAATGCTCTTTATTTATTATGGATCAGTGAATTTCGCTCAGAAACCCAAAAATCGCTCGCTATCTTAAATCTCTGATTAATTCGTATACAAGTTAAATTCCTAACATTATTAGAAATAAAATACTTCAGTAAATTGTTTCATATCCTCACCATATTCAATGTGATTGTCAACTAAAACTGTTTAAATCACAATATTACTAAAATTAGTTAGTAGTTTTGTGGTGCGCGCTACTTATAAGTAATATATGACGCGAGTGTGAACGTAATGTCTGGCAGCAGAAGATGGGGGAAGATCAAGAAAGAAGAGTGGGAACACAATGGAATTTGTATGAAACGCATGAATAGTGAAATGTTAGACAATAGATTGATGATGGATTGAAGATTTGCAAATTAACGGTTACAATATGGTTTTCCCATTTTACTGATTAACTCTGTAATTTTCGCTAAATACAATTCGGTTGCCCTCACCTGTGTTCTCCTTCATTGCAGTATATTAGTGTGTATTAAAAAATTTGATTCATTCACAGTCCAGATAGACTTTTCCTATATGATAATTTATTTGAAGTCAGTCACATATATATAATCATCTGTATCACACAGAAGGAAACAAAAAAACTTTACTGTACATAATTTGATCATAAAAAAAGCCCAATACAAATAACCTTACTTTAACACAAGTAAAAAATTAGTTAATTCTATTTTTATTTATTGATTTTTGATGATTGTTCTAATTCAGCAATTTTAATTTTCGCTCTTTCTATTAATTGTTTGCCTAATTCAATTTGTTTCTCTTTTATTTTAATTAAATAATCTTTATTAAGAAATGTTAAAGATAATTCAGTTGTTAGTAACTTTTGTACAATACTATCTAATTCCGATTGATTCACTTGCGTAATTGCATTCAATTCAGATAAATTCAATGTATCAATAGAAGTAAGATATTTTTCATTGAACATTGAATCGAATTCTTCTTGTTTTAATTCATCTGTTGTTAGACTAATTTGAATTTCAGTTTCTAAAGATATTGATTGTTCATTCTGTTGCTGTTGTTGTTGTTGTTCAATGCCTTTCGGAGTTTCAACTGGTTTAATAATTTTCAACCATTTAGTTACTTTCTCAGGAAATAATTCAGAATATTTTGAAATGAATCTAAGTGATATAGCTTCAGATAATGGTGCTGGCCATATAGAATCGGATGATGTTTCAAATGTTTCCAACAAAGTATCAAAATAAAGTGGACAAGAGATTTTTATCTAAAATTATATAGAAAAGAAAGAATTTTTATTTGAATTGGGATTAATAATGACTTGGGATGGATTAGGTCAAAATCCAAGAAATAGAATGGATATTAGAAGGAATATATATATATGTATATATAATTAGGACAGGACAGAAACAGCAGTCAGTCAGTCAGCTACAATGTAGAACTTCGAACGTATGTACATAAGTTCATGTTACCATACCACATTAGCACAGAGACGCAAATGTCAAATCAAATCCCATAGTGATAAAGATAGTAGAGGTATGAATGGTAATGAAGAAGACTAGGGTTTGAAGATATTATTCAAGAAGTATAATTCAGTGAGATAAGGTTAGAAAGACAAAGGTAGAGGTGCTGACGAATCCAGAAGATTAGGATTTGAGGGAGTTCAACGAATGGATGCACTTGCGCCATTGCAAACGATTTTGAGCCATATCGTTCAAGGTCTCTAACCATTGGTGACTATCGTCTCGCGGACCCCAACCAGGTAGTTTACTTCTACCAACATGACTCAGTCCACTTGTCTGAATTTAGTGTAAAATGCCGCACAATTTACGCTGAATAACAAAATCGCCTATACAGTAGTTAATTTTCCATGAACCGAAAAAAAAGTAACTTACCAATCTTTGATTACATGCTGTATATGGTCCAAAAGCTCTTTCCAGTAAATTATGCTTATTTAAAAAATGTCTTGAAAAGAATTCTATCAATAATTCTGCTGCAGTTAATTCAACAATAGATAAATATCCAGAGAATTGTTTTTCAAATTCA